TGTCCTCTGTAAAGAAAGTGTAGAAGAATTATCTTGTGCAATACTTTCCTGTGACTTAATTTTTTTGAAAAAACAATTGTGAAGTTAAGCATTAAACTGTTTAGTTTGCAACTAATAGACCAAGGCTTGACGTTTCTCAAAACTGCAATAAGCTGTGAATGCTTACGGAATTTCCAAAACTTAGTAAAACTGTAAAGCCTATGGAGATCTAGAAAATCAACTACCTTAAAAATTACATCAAGTTCAGAAAATAATAGGACCACGAAAATACAAACAGAATTAGATGCACAATATTAAGTAATGAAAAATGGCAACACAGCAATATCCAGAAAATGCTTGATTATTCCTAACCCTTTGCTTGACCCAGCTATGTCGTTTTCCCGCAGTGCGGGGACAAAGTAACACTTGCACTGAAGAGTGCTTGAAAAATCGCCGAATTTCTTCATCATGGGTTTGCATGATTCCATCCTGCAACAAAAAATTGTTATGTTCAATTGGAAAATACATACAACAAAGGTTTCCAGTTAGAATTTAAAAGGGAAAATAATGTGTAAAACAATTCAACAAAGGATTATATCACTGACTCTATCAACAACGTCAGTTGCCCTAATCTAAACCAATGTATCATGATAGCCAAATTCTGGCATTCATTTATCTTGTGATTCAATAGTCATTTGCAATTACGCTTTTTGTGATGTGACGTAAACTAAGTAAATGGACTTGCATCCAAGAATTTCACAAGATGAGTTATATATTACAAAGATAAAGAAAACAAAACGACTGAACTTTTAGAACCACAATCCCTTGATAGAATACCATTCCAAAATATGAAAAGTCGAAGAATACTTACTGTTTTATAACCCAAAATGCTTCTTGAAGTAGGGTCATCCCAAACAAGTAACAGCACTCTCACTCCTTCCTGGGACTTGGACCTCAGAAGATCCCCTATGGTGCAATTTGATGCACCACTAACATCCCGAACTAATCTAACATTGTGCCAAACTGACCACCCAGCAATGTAAATTAAACGCCGGGCCTGACGTATTGCATCGAAAATGTCATGCCAACACCTCCCATGCACATATGGCATCCCCCCATCTAATATCAAGTTCGGAAGGCACCCATCTGGGACATGGGCATCTTGATAAAGAGTTACTTTTCCACCTGTCCTAAGAGGAAAATATGTGCCAGGAACCCCAAAATAATCAGGGCCTGCCCCCACTCCATTATGGTAAACGCTCAAATTCTCAATTGGAATGTACTGAATTGAAAGTCTTAGGACAGCTCCAGCTTTACATTGCTTCCCACTAGCATTCAAGATCGGATAAACTCCCTCAACTCTTGCTCCCGTGTAAATCTGTTCGACTGGAATTGCCACAACTCCAATAAGCTGAGACCCCACAAGATCACTATCTTTAACAACAAAGTGCACTTCAGGAGCATGATGTGCTACTGGAACATTGAAATGTTGTGTCCAAACAGGAAATTCAGAATTGCTAATCACATATGTCCTCCCAATTACAGCATTTGAAACTGAAATTGACACGTATGGATCACTAGTAATCTTACGGCTTGACTGCCCATCAGTTTTGCTGCTTCCACTCCCTGGTAACCTCAAAAACATATCTCCCAAAGTCTTGTGGAACATGTCCATATTTGGAAGGTTTCTCGCTTCATATACCCAAATGTCCAAATTCCCATGTAAAAGCAAGACCTTCAAGGAACCTTTATTCTGCAACGGAATAATCTGCAAACTCTGGCTATGTTGTGACCCATTAAACGAACTTGAATGGGTATAAGCAGAATGACTCGGTGATTCAATCTGACCTGAATAAGACATCTCCCAACTACTGGAAAATGAGCTATTAGGATACGCATACAACTCCCCCTGAGTATCATACCTTGCACTACTGGGAGTTGAAGTTGCCAATTCTTGCACTAAAGGTGATGGGGGTGCAGAGGGATCCAAAGATTGATTGTCAGACAAATGCACATTACTCAAAAGCTGATCCAAGGGCGGGTAAGCAGAAGAGTGAGGAGGCACGAGTTCTGCACCATTATCATGAACTGAAGCCCCCCCAATTCCTACTGGACAGCTATCATGCCGTTGATGATTCGAGAACCTACTGGGACGCAGAGGGGCTTGATGCGGGCTTTCAGGCGGCGGGTAAGCCTCAGATTGTTGGTAGTGGTAATGGGAAGCACCATACTTGAAACTGCTATGCTGCTGAATGGATGGCAGAGGACCACTATGGGAAATTGGACGAGCCGGGGGGTATGGATACGGATAGGGAGGCTGGTTATAGTCTATAGGCCCTGAATGGGGGGAGGATGAAGAAGGTGATGGAGGATATGCATAAGGGTAAGGATATGAAGGATTGTACGGTGGGTATGGATATGGACCAGGTTGATATTGATCTGGAGGTGGAGGAGGGTATTGAGAAGGAGGCTGGTGAGGGTAAGGGTAAGAATTCTGGTATGGGTATGGGTATGGGTATTGTGAAGAACCATTATTATCCATTGCACAATTCAGGTTCTTAGCTTCTTATTGGCAGAAGATGAACAAAAACTTGTTATCAAATATCAAAAAGGCATGCATGAACTTGATATCTAATGGGTTTTCAAGGAAATTTCTATAATACATATATTCTGCTTTGAACTTGAAATCTAAGGGTTAATAGTATGAAGGGTTTACAATTGGGACTTAAAAAATGAATCTTTTACAGAAGGTGAACAGGATACACCAAGAGATCAAAAGGGTTTTTGATTCCTAGTGAGAGAATATATATTATATGCAACAAGAGAAGAAGCTCAATAGAATTATATATTTTATATAACAATTAAAAGATCCCAAAAAGTAGAGAGTTTTAGCATTCCAGAAAGAGAAAACCCAGATAGAGGTTTACCTTATTGGGGTTGATATACAGGAAGATTGAAAGAATGTATTGGAACCTTCAAAGAAATGGACTTTTAGATCAACATCTTTATGATTCTTTCTTCGTGTTTGACAACGTGCGCAGTGCCCAAACTTCCAGTTTCAGCCCCTTGCCGTCCACGTGGAGCATTCTGACTGGATGAAGACTGGGACCCACGGCCACCTCAGCATCATGCTATGCCTATTTAATTTTTTACGCAAACTTTCGTTTTTATTTTATTTTATTTATTTATTTTTCGGATGAAACATATATAAGATAAAACAGTAGAAATGGCCAACAAATGGACGTTTCTTGTTGACGTGTGTCTTCAGAACTTCGAGAAGTACGAAATTAAATGAAAATTGAAAATAACGCGTAACTTACTTTCCCTAAGGAAAGGGAAAGAAGTGCTTTAAAAAGCAAAAATAATAAAACGTGAAAAGATTTAAATTTGGACACAATCCAAGGGATTGTGTATTTAATGAGTTATATTTGACAGAAATGTTGGAACCAATTGAAGAGAATCTCCTCCCGCTTTGGAATTCACATTGAATGCAAATACAATCTATTTAATTATCGAATAATTATAGTACAGTAATGTTATATATATATATAACTCGTTCACGTGTTATAATATAAGTGAATAATAGTCGATATTGTACTTTAAAAGTAGGTAATCCGCGTTCCATACTATGTTCCAAAGTCAGTCTAGGCCATAGTTTGATTGATACACAAAATTGGAGAGTGCTTCTTAATTAATCAATTGAAAGTTTAGATGTTGATATTGATTTTGAAATTTCATTGTTTTGTGTGTTTTTTATTTATTTTATAAACAAGGTTTGGCAATTTAAGATGTGAAGAAATACTTATGCAACATGCCCAATTGGAGTCATTTTGGCAACAGAAAGATCTTTAGAGTGATCTACTCTTCCAAGTAATTGGGCATATCATATGTTATGCTATGAGACTATGCATGTGATGTGCATGGGGCATCATATATGCTTTCACCTAACTTCCTTGCTTCATTTTCTTTTATTTCAGAATGAGTTTTTCTTTTCAAAATAAAGCATAGATCGGCCTCTGCAGAGACACATAATTGGACAAACAGAGGAGCAGATAAGGTTTTGTTGTGGAAAATGCTGCTAGGTGGGGTTGGGGGGGGTTTTGTCAACTAAGTTTAGGTCGCACATGAGTTTCAAAGTATGAAATTTAAGACTTTGCATTTGACTAAAATTCATTTGTGATAGACATGATTAAAATAGTATGGATAATCAAGATAAATCTGTCTGTAAATTAGAAAAGCAAATCTTGTGTATTATAAGTGATCTTATGTAAAAGTGTCTTGTAAGAGTAATATAAACTTGTCTTACAATGTAAGATTTTTTTTGTATCCAATCATATAGGGAGAGTTGCAAATGTGGGTTAGGCCAGTTAATAGGTAGTGTGCTCGTCCCCTTACACTCGAAGTTTTGTGTAACTTTTAAGGAAAGTCCGGGTTAGTGGCTGGTCTCATTCTCATTCTCATTGTTCTTTCAAGTCCGATGATCAATTGCCACAACAACGTAATCACAAAGAGGCAAGGGAGACTATTAAGAGTAATGCTACATGTATCACATTCACGAATCATGTCATTGCCATGTCGTAGGTGGGTCTCATAGTTATTATGTTGAAAATGTGACAAGGAATTAGAAAACAAATATACTTTAATACGTTTTATGGTTTAACAAAACAAATATTTAATGATAAACTTGCATGAACCTGATGCCAGGTAAAACTGGTGCAGCAATGGCCTGGGGTGGCATCTTCTAACACCCAAATAGATTTGAAAATTCTTATTGATAATTTTTGGTTAATCACATAAATTAGTAGTTTTTCCCATAGACTTTTCTCCATCATATTTTATGGCAGGTGAAATTACATGCTCTCTCTAGCATAATATCCAGCTTAACTGGCAATCCCTGGTAATATTTTATGGCAGTTAAAATTACATACTTCTGTGCCCTCCATCATTTAGTCCTAAACTTGAGGTTGATGGTGATTTAGCCCCAAAACTTATTATAGCTTTGACCAAAAATAAAAAACTTATTACAGCCAAGTTACTGCTATGGGACTTCCAACTCTATATTTCCCTGACACCCAAGTTAGGGTTCCGAAGGATGAATTGGTCAAAGTTGGTCCTCCCAATGCAACAAAACTGACTTTGTAGCTCAGTTTTTCACCCATCTTCTTAAACCCCAAGCTCCTAGGCTCAACAGTTACTGATACTCCAGTAGGTTCTTTCACCTGCACTGCATAAGTACTAGGAATTTTACCAACATTTTTCACTGTCCTCTTGTACGTAACACTCATATTCCTTGCATCTTTGCTGAAAAGCACAGAGAATGAAGGGTAATTCAAGTCACCAGGCTGAAGAACTGCATTTTTTGGACAAGTAAAATTAACCCCACTGGAGAAAACAGCTATTTGGGAAGAGTTATAACTCAAGCTACACAAATAAAACAGGTAGTCTTCAGTGGTAATGTCGTAAACTAGTCCTGGATCAGCAGCATTTTCTGGGTCAACATGCCCTGAACCAAAGGCAAAAGGGGTAGCTGATTTTGAAGTACTAGTTGAGCCAATATCAGCAATTGGGCCCCCTTTGTTGTTTAGTGTGTAAGCTGTGGTCATTAGTGCAGATTTGATTGCTGCAGGTGACCAATCTCTATGCACTGACTTGAGAAGAGAGGCTAAGCCACTCACATGGGGGCAAGACATTGAAGTGCCTGAGATTATGTTAAACAGAACACTTCTGTTATCACTTTCAAGCATGCTTGGGCTGATATTGGGTGGCCAAGCAGCCAAAATGTCCACACCTGGTGCAGTCACATCAGGCTTGATCACGTCCGGTCCAGCAGAATTTGGCCCTCTAGATGAAAGGGCTGCCATCACAGGCGCAGTGTTGCCGTAGACTGTGCCTTGGAACACAATCAAAGCTGAGGGTTTCTTTGCTGAGCCTACGTATTTTCGGATGGCTTTAGCAGCAGAAGCTCCAAGAGAAGTGGCCGGCAGAATATGAGCGTCAGCAAGAAGTTCTTCACCTTCATCTTCACTGTTCAGTAGAAGCATTCCAGCTCCCCCTGCCTTCGTCACTTTCTCTCCAACTCCAGTTCGCGAATATATTCCTTCCTCACAAACCACAATCTTTCCTTTTACAAGCTTCTTGACTAGTGAACCTTCAAAGCAATACTCAGCTCCTTGGCTACCTGCAATTCTGTTATACACAAGTGGCAATTGTTTAGTTTTCTTACCAGAATATAGAGATGAACCTTCAAAAATTTGTCCATCCCCAAGTTTCACTGCTGTTGGAAAGCTTCTGTCACTATAGCTAGCTGCAACAGTTGTTTACACCATAATTAACCAAGCGTGATTGTACACCAAGGTGGACATGTCTTCCTCCCTGCCAAAGGGAGATGCTCTTCCGAAGGGACAATCACCTGCCGAAGCTCCGAACTGCCAAACCTAAAATACAGGAGACACGTGTCATCATCACAGCAACTTGCACAAAGTCCCACATCGGAACTTTGTGCAAACCTCCTACTTTTACTTCCTTATAAGTAGGGAACAGTAACCAAGAAAAAGGGTAACTTCTCTTCCACTATTACTGTTACTTTGCAATAGTCACTACCCCTAGCTGACTCAGGCATCGGAGAGCCTTCGGCCGGCACCACACCGGTGTCCGAAGCTTAACGACTGCTTCTCCTATTTTTGTCTTCTGCAGGCTAGCCTTTTTACTGAAGGCCCAGGCCCTTCTCTTGCTAAAGACAAACCTCTATCTCTAAGTTGACCCTCTCCGAAAAAGAGCATCAACAGTTTGGCGCCGTCTGTGGGAATCCAACACTTAAAACCCATTTTTCTCTACCAGCCCAGCTGGCTCCCTCACCTATCCGGCCCCGTCGCCTCTTCTTCACTCCACACTCAGCCATGCCTACCGAGGGTAGCCGAGATGCCCAGCGCAGTACCCCCCAGGAGGGTACCTCCCAGAGGGGACCGTCGGCGGAGGTCAATCTCCAAGCCGAGGTGGAACTCCTCCGCGCCAGTGTCGTCAAGATGTCCGAGAGGTGTGACCATCTTCACTCCAAGAATGTTGAGCTGGAGCACGACTACCGCACCCTGAAGCGTAACTGGGAAAGGAACCAAGCCCAGGGCTCCCAACGCAGCCTTACCCCGGAACCTGAACGCACACAGCCACACCAGCCGGAGCATTCCCACCATAGTCCCCCAATCCAGCCTAGGCCCAGCAAGGGTAAGGAACCCCTCCATCCGGAGGCGACCAAGTCACGGCTTCTCCGTATCTCCCCACCGAGGAACCGGCCTCATGAACCAACGAAGGTCTACAGGGATTGCAGGGATTGTATCCTGGACCGTCAGACGGGACCCCTTCTTATCCCCGTTAATCTCCAAGACCCAAAGGTGACACACCTAGGCCCCCCACCAAAACCAACCCGTGTGCCTGCAGGAGAGGGTATGGGGGACTCGGATGACTGGGGGCATGATTACTCAGAAGAGCACGAGTCTTATCACACCGAGGAGTTCGATGGACCTGACCCTTATCTAGCTCCTGGCCACACACACACCAGACCTCCAGCACTCGAGAGACTCCCTCATGCCGACCCGGCAATGAGACTTCTCTTCGAGAAGGTCCGGCGCCTGGAGAGTGAGCAGCAGCGCAACCACCAACCCCTCTGGGCGAAGCCGCGACCTGGGCCCTTTACCGAACGCATCCTTAATTACCACCAAGAGAAGGAAATCCAGCCCCTCCGTATCGCCTTCTACACTGGCACTGAGGATCCCCTCACCCATATACATTCTTTCCAGTCTGCCATGGGATGCAAAGGCTTGACGGACGAAGGCATGTGCCTCCTCTTCCCATCTACCCTCAGCGGGGCGGCCCTGAATTGGTTCTACAGGCTGAGCCCCCGCACCATCAATACGTTTGACAGTCTGAAGCAGGCCTTCCTGGACCATTTCATGATCCAGACTGATCGCCTCTACTCTGCGGACGACCTGTACATGCTTAGGCAGGGTGAGGATGAGCCCCTTCGGGAGTATGCAGCCAGGTTCAGCCACGAGTACTCCCGCTGCCCAGAGACTGATGATCGTGCCGCCTTCGGTGCTTTCAAGAGTGGCCTCCGAGAGTCTAACTTTCGGTACCTTGTGCACAGCAACCCTTGGAACACGTATGCTGAACTAATGAAGCAGGCAGCGGTGCACGCCAAGGCTGAGTATTTCAACACCAAGCGTGCCCCGGCCACCCCGGTACATCATCCTTTCGCTGACCCACAACCTGCTTCAGCACCCACCTCAGCCCCACCTCAGCATTCTACTCCCGCCCCAAGTAGCCAGGGTACCCAGCAACCCAAACGGAAGGATAACTACCAGCATACCTTCAATAATAATAAACGGGGCAGGCACAACCACCACCAGTCCAGCGGGGTCAACCCGCACAGGGCAGGCGATCGGGCTCCACTGCCCTTCTCACCCAAGCCCAGGTTCGAGGTCTTCACCACCCTGAACACCACCTACGAAAATGTCCTGGTGCACGAGGCACCTATCATACCCAAGCCTCCCCCCCGGAGACCAGGCAGCAAGCCCATGCCCAACACAGGTGTCTTCTGTCGTTTCCATCAGTTCGGTGGGCATGACACCGAATCTTGTGTTGCCTTGCGCAACATCATCGAAGGACTTATTCGCGATGGGAAACTGGACAAGTATGTGAACAATCTCCCACCCCCACCTAACCCTCACCAACGTCAGATCAACATGATCTCAACTATCAGTGGTGGTCCCACCCTGGCTGGAACCTCCAACAACTCCATCAAGCATTATGTCCGCTCCACCTATGCGCATCAGGTCTTCAGCGCTGAGCAGGGACGCCTGCCGAAGACCCACAAATCAGGCTGGGCTCCCATTACCTTCTGCGAGGAGGAAGAGCGCGGTGTTATCCTCCCCCACGATGACCCAATCATTATCCGCGCCGACATTTCTAACTTTGATGTGGGGCGTATCCTAGTGGACACTGGCAGTTCGGTCAGTGTGATGTTTGCTGAGGCCTTCAACGAGCTCCAGGTCCCATCTCACCTGCTCGACCGCAGCATCACACCCCTAGTGAGCTTCTCTGGTGAGGTGGTCCAGCCCATTGGAAGCATTCATCTCCCCATCTCTATTGGATCGGCACCCCAGCGGAGGACAATCACCACTCCCTTCCTCATTATCGACTGCCCCACAGCCTACAATGTCATCCTCGGCCGCCCCGCCATGGCCCAAATGAAGGTCTTCATCTCCACCCATATGCTGCTGCTCAAGTTTCCTACACCTCATGGCACAGGCACGGTGCGTGGAGACCAACTTGGCGCCCGAAGCTGCTACGCTTCGGCAGTAAGGTCCACCAACCGCCAACATCGGGGCGAGGCCCTCACAGTAACCCAGGCTCCAACACCGGTTCAAGCTGGCACCGAGCGTCCAGAGGACCCTAGGGAGGAATCTGTTACCCCACAGGCCGAACCTGTGGAGGATCTTGAGCTGGTTACTCTTGATGAAAACATCCCAGACCGACAGGTCAGGATCGGCACCTCTCTCTCCCAGGAGCTTCGTTCTGACCTTGTCGCCTTCCTTCGCCTTAATTCTGAGGTCTTCGCCTGGTCGTACAATGACATGCCTGGCATATCACCTGAGATCATATCCCACCGGCTCAGCATTAATCCTGCCGTTCGACCCGTTCGGCAGAAGCGCCGTGCTTATGACCCAGAGCGATACGAGGCCATGAGGGCAGAGGTGGACAAGCTAACTAGCATCGGATTTATCAAAGAGGTGGACTATCCCACCTGGCTGGCCAATGTGGTGATGGTCCGAAAGGGCACGAAGGGCTGGCGCATGTGTGTAGACTACACCAACCTCAATCGGGCCTGCCCGAAGGATAGCTTCCCCCTACCCCGCATCGACCAGTTGGTCGATGCCACAGCTGGCCACGCCCTCCTCAGCTTCATGGATGCTTACTCGGGGTACAACCAGATTTTCATGCATCCTGGGGACCAACCCCATACCTCCTTCATCACGGATCGTGGCCTTTACTGCTATAAGGTCATGCCCTTCGGCCTCAAGAACGCCGGGGCCACATATCAGCGTCTGGTGAACGGCATCTTCGCTCCCCTGATTGGCAACACCATGGAGGTTTATGTCGACGACATGCTCGTCAAGAGTCGCACCACTGACCAGCACATCCCCAACCTCTCAGCCATGTTCACCATTCTGAAGCAGTATAAGATGAGGCTCAACCCCACCAAGTGTGCATTTGGGGTGGCTTCAGGCAAATTCCTTGGCTTCATGATCAGCCAGAGGGGTATTGAGGCCAACCCAGAAAAGATCAAGGCCATATTAGACATGGCAGTACCCAGGACAATCAAGGACATCCAGAGCCTTACCGGGCGAGTCGCAGCCCTGACCAGATTCATCTCCAAGGCCACTGATCGCTGCGCCCCCTTCTTCAAGGCACTTAAGGGTAGCAAGCGGAGTATTACCTGGACCGCTGAATGCGACAAAGCTTTCAGCGAGCTGAAGGTGTATATGGGCCGGGCCCCCTTATTGTCAACACCTGAGCCTGGAGACACCCTCATGATCTATCTCTCCGTCTCGGCTACAGCCGTCAGTTCTGTGCTCATCCAGACTAAGAACAGTGCTGAGCACCCAGTGCATTACGTCAGCAAGGCGTTACAGGACGCCGAGGTTCGGTACCCAGACATCGAGAAGTTGGCATTCGCCTGGTGGTTTCGGCTCGGCGCCTCAGGCCGTACTTTCAGGCTCATACCGTTCATGTCTTAACCAATCAACCACTTCGGCAAGTGTTGCAGAAGCCGGAAACTTCTGGGAGGCTAGTCAAGTGGGCCATTGAGCTTGGCGAATTTGACATCCACTACAAACCCCGCCCAGCCACGAAAGGCCAGGCCGTGGCTGACTTTATATCTGAATTCACTGAACCCCATGCCGTGGCCAGTCCACAGATCACGATGGAGCCCACTCCCACCCCGAGCCAGGTCCACGTCGCCAGCAACGGCACCCTAGACCTAACACAGCCCTTATGGACTTTGTATGTGGATGGCTCTTCCAACGCCCAGGGATGCGGAGCTGGCCTTGTTCTCATCTCTCCAGACAAGGTTGTCCTGGAGTACGCCCTTCGCTTCCAATTCCACGCCTCCAACAATGAGGCCGAATACGAGGCACTTTTAGCTGGCCTCCGGTTAGCCAAGGAGATGGGCGCTAGGCAAATTCAGATTTTCAGCGACTCACAGCTCGTTGTGCACCAGGTCAACCAGGACTTCACTGCCAAGGACGTGTCCATGACAGCCTACCTCCAACATACACGTCATCTGCTTGCAACCTTCAATGCTTACCTCATCAACCAGGTACCACGCTCCGAGAATAGCCACGCCGATGCCCTAGCTAGACTCGCCTCAGCCATAGAGCAGGGCCTTGGCCGCAATATCCACATGGAAATCTTGGATCAGCCAAGCACGCGGGCACCACTTATCTGCGCCATCGATCACAGCCCAACATGGATGGACCCCATCCTCCAATTTTTGCAGAACCAGACCCTACCCGCTGACCCTGCTGAGGCGCGGCGTGTTCGCTATCGCTCCGCCCGATACTTAATCATTAATGGCGCCCTGTACAAGCGCGGATTCAGCTTACCCTACCTTCGGTGCCTGACCCCAGAGGAAGGCCACTATGTCCTCCGGGAAATCCACGAAGGCATCTGTGGTAGTCATTCAGGCGCCCGCTCACTTGCGCATAAGGCCATTCGGCAAGGATACTTCTGGCCCTCACTTCACACTGATGCCCAAGCCTTCACCCAGAAGTGCGACAAGTGTCAGCGGTTTGCCAATATCCCTCAACTCCCGGCTGAACCTTTAACAGCCATGGTCAGCCCTTGGCCATTCGCCCAGTGGGGACTTGACCTCATCGGACCTATGCCCGAGGGCAAAGGCCAGGTTAAGTACGCAGTCGTGGCCGTCGACTACTTCACTAAGTGGGCGGAAGCTGAGGCCCTGGCCACCATCACTGCGGCTCGTATTGAGACGTTCGTTTGGCAAAATATCGTGTGCCGCTTCGGCATCCCCAACGCCATCGTCACAGACAACGTTCGGCAATTTGACAACGCCAAATTTAGGCAGTTTTGTTCCAACCTCAAGATAAAACTTTGCTTCGCTTCTCCAGCCCATCCTCAGTCCAATGGCCAGGTCGAAGCCGTGAACAAAATTATCAAGAAGACCCTGAAGACCAAGCTTGACAAAGCCAAGGGTTGCTGGCCAGATCTACTCCCAGAGGTTCTTTGGGCTTACCGCACCACCTTTCGTACCTCAACGGGAGAAACACCGTTTTCCCTTTCCTTTGGTACCGAAGCGGTGGCACCAGTGGAGATTGGCCAGCCAACATACCGAACCTCCACTTACGAGGCCGAGGCCAATAACGAGCAGCTGGCCCTCAACCTCGATTTTATCGACGAGCTTCGTGACCAGTCCAACATGCGCAACGTCGCATACAAGCAGCGCATTGCCAAGTACTACAACTCCAGAGTTAAACCTCGAGCTTTCACAACTGGGGACTGGGTCATGCGCAAGGTTTCATTAGCCACTAAGAATCCTAATGAAGGTACCCTGGGCCCTACGTGGGAAGGTCCGTATGAGATCACCAAGGTTTGCCGCCCCGGGACTTACCAACTTCGGGACCACAAGGGCAAAACGTTGCCTCACCCTTGGAACGCTGACCATCTCAAGAGCTACTACAAGTAAACATACCTAGACCCTAGGACATTGTGTTTTGTCATACTTTGGTCTTGAGCCTCGACTCAAACCCACCATTGTACTTTTTGCCCTTCGGCACCCATCTAATAGAAGCACCCAACTGGGCCCCATTTCTACTTCAGAACTTGGCAGAATGCTTAAAGTAAAAAGGTACCACGCTATCATAAAAATCAAAGTAACCCTGCCTTAGGGCAGGGAAATATCCATACATGTCAAAAGACTACGTCTGAAATAACTGGGTACAACATAGCAAAAATACAAACAAGCCCTCAGGCATCAGCATGGTCGTCCGCCTCATCCTCGGCAGCTGTGTCAGGATCCACGGTCGACTCCCCTCCGCTAGCATCGGCACCTCCCCGCGTCTCAGCCTCCGAAGGACTCGTGGCCTCGGCAGATGGTGTGGCCGCAAACAATGACTCCCGACCGGAAGGAATGGGAGGAGGAACACCACTGGTGTCGAAGTTTATATCCAACCCTGGATTAAACCTCGCAACCAGTTTCTCCCACCCATACTGCTCCTCGACCATCGCGTCCAGCACAAGGCTCTTGAACCTGTCTGAGCCCTGATACTCCTCCACAGCCTCGGCACGAGCCATGCTCAGCTCCTCGGTCCTCCTCCTCTCAGACTCGAGCCTAGCCTCCTCCACCGCCTCCAGCCGCCGAGTCGTCTCCTTCAGCTCCCGCTCCAACCTCCCCACCTTCAGCTGCAGCGCATTCCTCTCCCGGAGGGCAGCCTGAGCCTCGGCGGTAGCAGCCTTGGCTGTCTCGGAATGGCGTCTAGCCAGGTTCACCTCTCTCTCTGCCCTGGCTAGGGTAAGGTACATATCCCCAAAGGCCTGCAAGAAAGGTATGTTCATAAGCAGATCCCAATTGCACTTAGGGAGTCAAAGGCACAGGACTACTTACATTGGCGGCAGAGAGCACCGTCTTCTGCACCCGATCGGAGAAGTCCGTGGCCTTGGTCCGAGCGAGCTCCCCCGCATCAATCTTTACCCCAGTCAGGAAGGCGTTGACAAGAGGCACTTCCTGGCGATGCATGGCCAGGGTTACCTCCTTCGCCTCCCGTCGAACCGAGGCAAAGTCTATATCCTCGGTACCTGCAGGGAATAGCTCCTCCATCTCGAGCGGCAGCCTGGGTGGGGGATCTAGGTCAAACGGCGGCAGCACTGTCCCACCCATGACGTCATGGATTGAGGACTCAAGTCCCCTCCTCTTCTTCTCCAGCTCCTCCAACCGCTCATCCTCCTCCGTCCGAGGCCGCTTCCCAGCAGCCCGGGCTGCTGTCCCCTCGGCGGTACTGGGCGCCCCCTTTGCCTGCTTCTTGGCCCTATTGGCCCTATCCTTCTCCCTTCTCTCTTGCAACTTTCGCTGCCTCTCCTCTGGATCCACCACCACCTTCGGTGACGTCTCAACCACGGTCACCACTTCTTCGGTACCTCAGCCACTGAAAAGCAACACCGAAGCAAAGGTGAGAAGATATACCACAACATACATAAAACGGAGGGAGTGGGCTAATACTTACTTCCTTGAAGCAAACCCGACTGTAGAAGAAGGGCTGGGGTCACAATATTCTTCAGCTCACGCGCCTCCTGGCTCACCTGTCTCCTCACCAGCTCTATCTCTTCCTCTTCCTCCCTAGACACTGGCCTACACTTCACAGAACCTGCACATGGACAAAGGCGTTAGTTCTCACAAGCTTCAGACAACAATACATTCATACCAACACATTCAAACACAAAGACAGGAGTGATGACAAAAGACCTATAGATTGAAAATGGGTAGGCACATGTTTGCTGACAGTCGTCCCAGGCCAGCACTCCCAATCACCAAAGGCAAAGAACCATCGATTTCGCCACGTCTTCTGCGACGATGGTGGTTGCCCTATAAAGTATCCTCTCTCCTTCGCCTTTCGGCAGTTGACCTGCACCCAGCCAAAGTTGCCCTGTTGCCTGGACACTGAGTACAGATGCATGAACTGCTCAAAGGTGGGCTCCCCTCGTTTCGCCAACCACCACGCTATGTACACCCCGTGCAGTATACACCAGAAGTTGGGGTTATACTGCCCAGGGGCATAGCCCAGTCTAGAGAGCATCATTTGCACCCAAGGATGCAATGGTAACCTCAACCCATGTTTGTACATGGCTGAGAACACCATAACGCAACCCTCGGGAGGGTATCTAGCCGCTTCGGTAGGTATGGGCAACCTCAGCCCCACACAATCAGGTATCGCATAGTCTGCCTTCAGTGACTCTAGATCATACAAACTCATCATATTTTTCTTCGGTAGTGGAACCCCTATTGGGATACCCACATCAGCGGATGCTACTACCACCGTCCCACACCCCGACGGCCCAGCCCGCCCACTTCCACTAGCCTCTGGTGCCTGGGTTATCCCCAACACCCGGTTTGCACAAGCTTCTAGGGCCACATAGTTCCTTTGCATCTCCCTATAAGCTTCCCCCCCAGAACTCCTTGACTGCTCTTCTCCCCCAACCCTATTTCCCTCCATTATCAGCCCTTCCACCACACGTTCAGACTCAGTACTTTCCCCATCAGTACCCAAGTCTTCATTAGGGCTACCACTCTCAAACTCTTCCCCACTGAAGGCATGGGGACTTGGGGAGCTTTGACTTTCTCTTTCAGAATTATCAGACATCTACAAACACAAAAAGGGAAACTAAGGGGCATGCGAGGATTGAAAACAAGAACCTAGGCATGTTCTTAATATGTTCATGGACGTTCATCTACGTTCATATCACATTCATGCAAAACTCAAACAAAAGAGGCATTTCAATCCAGAAAGGGAGAAGGAGCACGAGGCATACCTTGTTATATCCACCGTCCACGGTTGCCGGAAATCGCCTGGCTCACAAGGGTACCTCCTCAAGCCTTGCCGGAAATCGCTCCGCCGTCCTTGAAATCTCTCAGAAATCGCCCTTGCTCGTCTACTAAAATCTTTCAAAAACTCAAAGTGCTCACTCCTTCAGCCCTCCACAACCTTTTAAAGGCATACGAAGGACCCCTCGATTCCCGTTCCAAGCAAAAACTCATCATACCGTTGGGACGCCTCGATTTCCACAAGCAGACGTTTCTATACCACTGCCACATGGCACTCACGACGTCACACCTTCCCTTCGGAAGTCTCCCTTCCGAAGCTTGGAAGGATCCCTCGCGACACGCGACGACGTCACACCTTCCCTTCGGAAGGCTCCCTTCCGAAGCTTGGAAGGATCCCTCGCGACACGCGATGACGTCACATCTTCCCTTCGGAAGGCTCCCTTCCGAAGCTTGGAATGAGTCCTCACGACACGTGGTGACGTCACACCTTCCCTTCGGAAGGCATGATGACGTCACACCTTCCCTTCGGAAGGCTCCCTTCCGAAGCTTGGAAGGAGTCCTCGCGACACGTGATGACGTCACACCTTCCCTTCGGAAGGCATGATGACGTCACATCTTCCCTTCGGAAGGCTCCCTTCCGAAGCTTGGAAGGAGTCCCCACGACACGTGGTGACGTCACACCTTCCCTTCGGAAGGCATGATGACGTCACACCTTCCCTTCGGAAGGCTCACACCTTCCCTTCGGAAGGCTTTCTTCCGAAGCTTGGAAGGAGTCCTCGTGATGACGTCACACCTTCCCTTCGGAAGGCTCCCTTCCGAAGCTCGGAAGGAGTCCTCATGGTGACGTCACACCTTCCCTTCGGAAGGCATGATGACGTCACACCTTCCCTTCGGAAGGCTCCCTTCCGAAGCTTGGAAGGAGTCCTCGCGACACGTGATGACGTCACACCTTCCCTTCGGAAGGCATGATGACGTCACATCTTCCCTTCGGAAAGCTCCCTTCCGAAGCTTGGAAGGAGTCCTCATGGTGACGTCACACCTTCCCTTCGGAAGGCATGATGACGTCACATCTTCCCTTCGGAAGGCTCCCTTCCGAAGCTTGGAAGGAGTCCTCACGACACGTGGTGACGTCACACCTTCCCTTCGGAAGGCATGATGACGTCACACCTTCCCTTCGGAAGGCTCCCTTCCGAAGCTTGGAAGGAGTCCTCATGGTCACGTCACACCTTCCTTCGGAAGGCATGATGACGTCACACCTTCCCTTCGGAAGGCATGATGACGTCACACCTTCCCTTCGGAAGGAAGCTTGGAAGGAGTCCTCGCGACACGTGATGACGTCACACCTTCCCTTCGGAAGGCATGATGACGTCACATCTTCCCTTCGGAAGGCTCCCTTCCGAAGCTTGGAAGGAGTCCTCATGGTGACGTCACACCTTCCCTTCGGAAGGCATGATGACGTCACATCTTCCCTTCGGAAGGCTCCCTTCCGAAGCTTGGAAGGAGTCCTCACGACACGTGGTGACGTCACACCTTCCCTTCGGAAGGCATGATGACGTCACACCTTCCCTTCGGAAGGCTCCCTTCCGAAGCTTGGAAGGAGTCCTCATGGTCACGTCACACCTTCCTTCGGAAGGCATGATGACGTCACACCTTCCCTTCGGAAGGCTCCCTTCCGAAGCTTGGAAGGAGTCCTCACGACACGTGGTGACGTCACACCTTCCCTTCGGAAGGCATGATGACGTCACACCTTCCCTTCGGAAGGCTCCCTTCCGAAGCTTGGAAGGAGTCCTCATGGTGACGTCACACCTTCCCTTCGGAAGGCATGATGACGTCACACCTTCCCTTCGGAAGGGTCCCTTCCGAAGCTTGGAAGGATGACGTCACACCTTCCCTTCGGAAGGCTCCCTTCCGAAGCTTGGAAGGACCCCTCGCGACACGCGATGACGTCACACCTTCCCTTCAGAAGGCATGATGACGTCACACCTTTCCTTCGGAAGGCTCCCTTCCGAAGCTTGGAAGGAGACCACCCGTGACGTCATACCTTACCTTCGGAAGGCTATCTTCGGAAGGCTACCTTCGGTAGGCCACCTTCGGAAGGCTATCTTCGGTAGGCCACCTTCGGCACCCCCCAAAAAAAAAAAAAAAAAAAAAAAGGTGCCTTCTAGTTTTCAAACTTGGGGGACTAGGGGACTACCTTCGGCACCCGCCACGCTGACACGCTTGGTTGAAATACGCAACCTCTTCACAAGTTCCCAAACCAGAAGCCACTTCTTGATTGACAACTTGGGGGACTACTGTTTACACCATAATTAACCAAGCGTGATTGTACACCAAGGTGGACATGTCTTCCTCCCTGCCAAAGGGAGATGCTCTTCCGAAGGGACAATCACCTGCCGAAGCTCCGAACTGCCAAACCTAAAATACAGGAGACACGTGTCATCATCACAGCAACTTGCACAAAGTCCCACATCGGAACTTTGTGCAAACCTCCTACTTTTACTTCCTTATAAGTAGGGAACAGTAACCAAGAAAAAGGGTAACTTCTCTTCCACTATTACTGTTACTTTGCAATAGTCACTACCCCTAGCTGACTCAGGCATCGGAGAGCCTTCGGCCGGCACCACACCGGTGTCCGAAGCTTAACGACTGCTTCTCCTATTTTTGTCTTCTGCAGGCTAGCCTTTTTACTGAAGGCCCAGGCCCTTCTCTTGCTAAAGACAAACCTCTATCTCTAAGTTGACCCTCTCCGAAAAAGAGCATCAACAACAGTCATAATCCAAGGTGCGGCATTACTAACACTTGACCTAGAAGGGCCTGAGTTACCGGCTGAGCATGACACAGAAACTCCATGTTGGATTGCCCCAAATGAAGCTATAGCAATATTGTCTTTGTAATAAGGCTTAGAAACACCTCCCAATGAGAGTGACAAAATGTCTACCCCATCTGCAACAGCACTGTCAATAGCAGCCATTACATCAGAGTTAGCGCATCCCAATGTCCAGCAGGCCTTATAGGCTGCAATTCTTGCAGTATACTTCATTCCACTGGCTGAGCCCTTGGCCAAGCCAAATAAGCTGGCTTGATTCACAAAGTTACCAGCTGCAGTGGAAGCAGTATGAGTTCCATGCCCATTTGAGTCACGAGGGGATCGATAATCCACTGTTTCATTGACTCTGCCAACAATGGCCTCATACCCTTGGACAAAAGCTCTTGCACCAATAAGCTTTTTGTTGCAATTTGAAAATGAGAACCTTGTGCCTTCTTCACAAGTGCCTTTCCAGCGAGAGGGTACCGGGGACATACCTGAGTCCTGGAAGCTTACATGTTCTGGCCAGATTCCTGTGTCAACAAGGCCAACAATTACATCCGAGGCTGAGTTGGAAGCGCTCCAAAGTCCCTTGCCATTTTGTAAGCCAAGGAACTGTGGAGTATGTGTGGTATGGAGACTTAGCAGCTCATCAGGTATGGCAAAGAGGAAACCATCAACTTGGTTCAAGGATTTGAGTTGATTGGTTGACAACTTTGCTGCAAAACCTGATATAGCAGTTTCATATATGTAAAGGAGCTGAGGAGTTGGTGTCTTGTTTTCTTCTTCTTCTTCTTGAGATGAGAGTTTGGTGACGGAATCAATCACTGCTTGGTAGTATTGTTGATGATCTGAGTCTGTGATTTTGGTCTTGTCCATGTGAATTATGTATGTCTGTTCTTCCATTAAAGCAATTTTAGTTGTAGCCATGATGACCAAGAAGAACAAGAATGTTCTAATGATGATCATGGTAGCTGTCAAAGACAAAAAGGATAAGTCAACAAATAATAAGGAAGTAAAGCAAGGAACAACACTTAAAACATGTCAACTAATGAGTCACCATTAATAATACATGAGAAATTCTACTCTTGGTGCTAATTGAAACCAGGACTCATACGAAAAACTCAAGTTATAACTCAGATAGATGAGGCTAGCTAGAGGGATTAGTTTGAAGTAACAATTACTTGTGATGAAGATATACAGGTGATGAGTAAGTTGAAAAGTTATTTGAGACTCCAAAATAAGGAAAGAAAACAGAAAGATAAACCAAAAGAACAGTTCCCAATCGCAGCAAGCCTAAACATTTCATGCTCGATCTCTTTAACATTTTGATCTAAGCAAAAATTAGAAGAAAAATTCCAACTTTTACTCAGCTAATGTGGCTTGAAAATGTGATCCCTCTAACGTTTACTCGAGTGATACAAGGAGAGAGTCAGACAGAGTCAAAGAGATGTTCAGATAGATACCTCTACTTGCTTCAACAAAGAGAAGGAGAAAGTCTCTGTGTAATGAAGATTTCCAACATAAAAACAAAGAGGTTCTTTATATAGGAAAGAAAAAGAATAAGCGTGACTTCAAGTTGACAATTTGAGCTCTTCCCACTTATTATTGCATAGTAGCCTACCATACAACAAGAAGCGTGCCCACTTTCTCTTTCCTCCGAAGTGCACGCCTTCAATTGGACCAAAACTAGACAGATGGCTGAACAAATGGCTTCTAGAATATATCACTTCTCCATGTAATCACTTTAAATGATTATATGGAGAAACACCTCCTACATGCTTCTCACCAAAAGTTATTTTGGCCTATCCAAAATCACTCCCAAACGAGCCCTAAGTTAGTCGTTTAAAAAAAATCAGAAAATCATAAGAAATACAAGACCATTGCATGAAACAAGTGACTATCAACTTGCTATAGAAGTTTGATTGGGAGATTTTATATTAGAACTATGATGGGACCTCAACTTGCTTCAGCTTATTCACTTCAAAAAACATATATGTTTGATTTAGCATAACCAAATAAAATAGAGAAACAAATATCATACTAAAATGCAGGAGAAATATCTACCAAAAGGAAGTGGCTTGTAGCCTTGCATTATTGTCCCTTGAAAAAAAAGAGATGTTTGTTGGTTGTGGGCATGACATCATTGGTATGGGTGGTGCACTTATTAGTCCTCCTTGAGAAATTTTTATATGTTCCGGGTACACCACGTGGCTGGTGTACCATCCAATAAACATAGAACATGTGGAATTATTGGTTAACTTACTGCATTTCTTTTTGTAACTTGTGGCGGGCTGCATTGCAAATATTCCATATGTCTTCCATTTATTGGATGGTACACCAACCACTTAGTGTACCCGGAACACCTAAAAATTACTCGTTGTCCTTCTTAATGGAACTGGTGCATGCTGGTAAATTGATTTTAAATCCACCTTTGGGAAAATTAATTTAGAAAATTTGAGACCACAAATTAATTTTAAATCGCTCGCTTTGAATTCCTTGAGCATTCAGCGCATGGCCTTATCACCAAAGTCTTCCTTTGAGTCCAATTTAAGGTACCGACTCATGAAATGAAATGAAAGTTGACTGAAATTGAATGCACTTAACACACATGACATTACATGTACCGACTTCATCTCTCAAGGGTTTGCTACATTTTGGTTCCTTCGGTTCTGATCAATTTTCAAGAAATTAGTTGTACGAGTACGAGAACGTGTTCGAGTTACATGAACAAATGTGGAGGACAAAGTTTTATTTGTTTCAATTTCTATTTGTATTTCTTTTTTCTTTACTTTCAATACATTGGAGAGAGCATGTGAGAATGCAAATATAGTTCACTCTTGTTCATTGTTCATGGACTTAGTCCTTCACTGATTTCCTATACTAGGTACCTTCAAGTTCAAGTAACATCATCATGGACTGTGAATGACAATGGGGCTCCTCACCGTGTAACGAGAGCTTTTCCATCCGAGGGAGCCAGATATCATTCGCATACTAGGCATTGGGTTCGCCTTTACCACAACTTGGAAGGTCTTCTTTTCCAAAGTGGTAGAGAAAGACAAGCTCATGGGCTTAACAATGATTTCAACTCCTTTTGGTCCTCTGATGGTGGCATTGTAGGTGGATTTAGCAGGACCCACATTGGTGACAGTTCTTCTGAAAACACCTACTGTTGGTTGTTTGCTGCTTTTCAAGCTGAGCTGCATAGTGGGATAGTTGAGAGCATCATAGCCTTGTCCAGGCAGCAATGAGGAACAGTTTACGGACTTTGAGCCCACTAAAGGGGCTAATGAGGACCCTTTATAGCCTTCATGGCAGAGGAACTGAATGTAGGACAATGTCCCATCCATGTCATAGACTAAGCCTGGGTTTACAGCTTTAGTTGGGTTCACTTGGCCAACACCATAGGAAAATTCTGCTTCGCTGTTCACCCTCTGGCTCATCGGTTTCGCTTGACAAAGATTTCAACATTATAATCAGAGTGTAAAACCATGACAAAAGTGAGCAGCATGAACAAATTCGAGTACTATGACTAAGGCTTGTTTGGAAATCCTTCTTTACATATTCGCTAAAATCTCACGTGTAAGGTGCTTTCTTAGGAAGCGCTTTCATAACATTGTTCACTAAAATCTCACATGCTTCTTACATATTCACCTGAAACCGCTTCGTAAGAAAGCATCTATCATGTGCTTCTCCAGAAAGCCCTTAAGGTGTTTTGGCACTATCAAAAGCACTCCCAAACATAAGTCTTCCTAAGATGAACCGTAAAACGAATTTATTTCATACCTGTGGTCAAGATGGCAGATCTGATTGCAGCTGGTGACCAATGAGGGTGGAAGGACTTTACATATGCTACTACTCCAGCAACATGGGGGCATGACATGGAAGTTCCAGACATGATTGTAAATTCTGAATATTGTGTATCACCTTCCAACCCAGTGAGTGACTTTCTTAGAGTGTAAGATGCCAAAATGTCAACCCCAGGTGCTGCAATATCAGGCTGCACCATATATATGACATAAAAAAGAGGTTCAGTTTCTAGCTGATCTCAGTTATATGGATTATAAGAAAATCAATGATTAAGACTAGACCTTGAGGATGCGTTCTGATCCTGGATTCGGACCACGGGATGAGAATGAAGCGATAAACGGAGCACGTTTCTTTGCTTCGTGAGACTTGGATATCACTGCTGATGGTGATCTACATGACAAAAGTTCTAAGCTGCTTATTTACTTTCGTAGAGATATCAAATAAATTGGCAAAAACTAAGCTGCTTATTTTACCCTGTTGAATGTATATACTCATCTATGATTTCTCCAATTGTATCATTGACCATGGTTCCTGGTGCCATGAATATGTGAGCAGCATCAAGGAGCTGATCATCTTCAATAATAGTGCCAACACCTCCAATTCCCTTAACAACAGAATCTGCTCCCCAATTTTCCAGTTTGCATAAAACAAGCTTTCCCTTTACCTTGCTAGGGTCTAATGAATCCTGAAGACAGAACCTGGTATACATGGCCATCCAGAATTCTTATTTATTTATTTATTTTTTGGGTCAGATTAATTTAACTTGTTATTCTTGACAGCTGATGAACAAAGACAAAGTAATACCTTGCACTCTCCTTGGTTTGAGAGTTTCGTGCTACATCAACCCCGCTAACAAGAGGGTATAAGTTTTTCTTTGGATTGAATGTGTTCACTCCAATCCCCTGCATATTTCATACAAACACAATTAAACTTCACCATGCAACACATCCAGATTAAGTTTTACGGGTTTTTCGCAACAAAAAAAAGCCAAAAATTTAGATACCTACCAAAAGTAGCCTTTTTTTCATCATTAAGCTAGTAATTAATTTGTGGGCAAAATAACCATGGTAAAATTCAAAGTTTTACACCACTTATTAAGAAGAAATGCAAACTTACTGAGACGTCCTTTCCATTTCCCAGATGAACTTTACTAATGAACTGCCTATCAATGCCACTCGCTGCCACAGTCACAAACCATGGTGCATGGTTAACAACACTTCCCAAACTTGGTCCATCATTTCCAGCTGAGGCCACAGTGATGATGCCCTTCTTCATTGCATGAAATGCACCTATTGCTATACTGTCCCGAACGTAATTTGGCCCCCCTCCACCAATAGAAATTGATATAACATCGACACCGTCATGTATGGCAGCATCATATGCAGCTAGGATGTCCATGTCTGTGCAGCCGGAGCTAGCCCAGCACACTTTGTACATGGCCACCCTAGCTGAGGGCACTGCACCTCTTGCAGTGCCCATGGCTAGGCCAAAGAGGCTGGCATTAGGAACTTGGTTGCCTGCTAAGGTTGATGAGGTATGAGTCCCATGACCATCCACATCTATAGGAGATAAGATGTCAGCTGGATCTGGATTTCCATCAAGCTTGAAGTACTTGGCACCTATGATCTTGCTTTAAGTGACCAAATGGTAAAATACATATATGGGTTAGGCCATTTTCAAACTTATGGTACAATCATAGTGTCCCAAATATTATTTGGAATTTTTTTTTTTTTTTTTTTTTTTCTATAAAAAAATAAGTTTTTTTTTTTTTTTTTTTTTTTTTTTTTTTTTTTTTTTTTTTTTGGGTGGTGAAAAGAAAATACAGATACTCATAAAAAGTTTAAACCATTGAAATTTATGCAAATTATTATTCACTCATGCAATATGGCATTTAAAAAGAAAAAGAATTGGTGTCAATATTAACGATTCAAAACATTTTTAAAAAGGCGTTTTCAATTTAATTTTGAAAGGTAATATTCAAGAGAAAGGCCCTTATACATGGCAATAACTGAAAACAAATGCTCTCATTTTCTCTCTCTCCCTCTCAGGTTTTTTTTTTCCTTGAAGAAAAAAGGAAGAAAACAGTAGATTGACAATTATGTAGGAAACGTGTTTCTGGTGTGGTGTATCAAATAACTTTCTGAGAAAACCTGAAAAGGGTATTTGCCAAAAACTTATGTAATTAGGAATATTTTCTCAAATGATTTCGTTGTCTACAATCTGCTGAAAAAAGTTACTTGTTGCATCCTGAGAAATTAGCAAAGTGGCCACAAGTTCCTTTCCATTTTGCTGGTGGAGGACCAAAGCCGTCGCCCTTAAAGCTTTTGGACTCTGGAGTAATTCCTAACAACATGAACAGTCAGATTATATACACAGCAAGCCTACTCAATGTATATATAAATTTTGTTAACATCAGTTAATAGTATAAGAAATGGTAAGAAAGAAAGAAAAAAAAAACACTAATTTTTCAACCTGTATCAAAGAGACCAACAATTATGTCACGTTCAAGCTTTAAATTTCGTCTAGCTTTTAATGGTAACCCAATGAAGTCCCATGATTTTGTTGTGTGCAGCTTGTGATACCTATTCGGAAGCACGGACAGAACTTCGTCCATTCCTATACATTCACGATGCATAACATGTGAGATTGTTAATCTGAGAACCATTGATTAAGTAGATTATCGTTTGAATGTTTGGTCCAAATTCAGTCACAGACATACCCGATAATCTTTCGGCTTCATCACTAGAAAGCTTAGCAGCAAATGCATTGAAGCTCTTTGTGTAGCTGTAAACCATGGACTCTTTAGCCTCAACATAGCTGCAAAACATGAACATGTATGTAAAAAAGAATGCCAATATATAATTTCATGTATATTATTATAGTTCAATGTTTTTTTACATATGCGCATGAGAGAAATAGTCCACTAACCTTTCTTTCACAGATGAGAGGATATCAATATGTGTTTGGGCTGCTTCAGAGTCCTCATTCACAGCATGATCTCCCAAGTACACAATGTAAAACTTCTGTTCAATATTTCATAATTACAGAAATGGCAAGTACATGCATGAGATCATAGAGCTACAAATGCCAACAGAAAAAAAAAAGGAACAAAGGAAATTAAGGGACTAGGGAGTGTACCTTTTGGTCATTTCCTTGAACACAAGCAAGGCCTACTAAGATCAAATGAAGAAGAAGAAGAAGCAGCAGCCAATGATCAAGAGGAAGGGGAAAACTAATTTTCTTGCTCCACATGCTTGCAAGATTAGTATTGGCTCTATAAGATCAACCTTTTTTTTTGGTTTCTTGTGAAACCACTTTGGTTGTTATATGTAACAACAAGAGGACCTCTTCTTGTTATATATAACAACCAAGGTGGTTTCACAAGAAACATAAAAAAACAAGAAAATATCAAAAGATAAGAGCAAGAAGCTTGAACTTAACTTCTGACATCCCTCATAGCTGAGGTTTTAATTGGTTGGGAAACCTTGAAAGTCAGTTAACAGAAGTTCAGGTTTGAATTCTGCTGAAGTCAGTGTCATGTCATGTATGGTCTGGGATTGCTTCTTTGTGAGAAACTTGCTGAAAATATATATGTCACTGACCTCTTTGTTTTTGTTACACTTTACATTTTTTGGATGGGCTTATATATTAGCCCATGTGAATATATATATATATATATATATATATATGGGTCAGGATCGGGGGAAACACAAAAAAACACAAATTTTGACGCACTTTCTCAACCATTAGATAGTGAGTCATCCAAAGATTATTGAATTTAGACTATGATATGTTGAATTGGAAAATCAAGAGTGATTGCAGAGATAAAAAAATTCTAAGTTCAATGAAAAGATCACTGTCAAATTTAGAGCATGAGTTGCTTGGAAACAAAGAGCCTATAAGTTTATAACCTTTTACTTGAATTCCAATTCAAGCAAAAAGGGCTTTCTGTAGCCACTGCTAGAAATAAGGATGACTTATCAAATGGACTAATAAGGGTTTATTAACAACGACTGTTCAACTTACCAAATGGATTTGCTTATCTTAAAAAGGATTTACCTCAGACTAGGAAGAAGTCTAGTGTAATAAACTTCTAAACAAGCATCATTTGTAGACTGTTACTCTTAACTTGAAATATATGCATAGACAGAAGGAAAGGGTATGCTTAATTTGGACTATTGGTAAGCATAAATTGGACATACAGTTCTTTTTTCCCTTTCCCTTTTTGTTTTTGTTTTATAAAAAAAATCCTTGAAGACGTTCATCCTTCATGCAAACCACAATTTGACACACATATACAAAAATGATTCATCCAAACACCGAAAGAAACAATTATACACACATGTCAAACTATGATTGATAAGAAAATAGGAGTTTCTAATGAAACGAGGCCAGTATGTTCCTTTTCAAAATACAACCACAGGACAAGAGTAAAACAAGAACCAATCCGAGTGTCCAAACATGAATATATCAGAAGGGCACCCAAAAAAGAAGGGATACAAAAGACTAAGGTGCATAGAGTTTAAAATAGCTATAGAAAGTAATGCAGTATGACATGAGAAAAAGGAAAAAGAGAGGAGAAGCAAGGGGATGTGGGCTTTAGATCATCAAAGGTCTTTTTTGGGATAAATGGGCTTTCAGATCATCAAGGAGAGGCCCTGCGCTTCAGATCATCAAGGAGAGGCCCTGCGATGCTTGAAATATCTTGGATAAACGTTATTGCACCATGGCAAAGCCCATGTTTGTTCTTTTATGAAGTAAATGATGTCAAAGTTCCTTGCATATTCATTTGAAAGTGCTTTTAACCAAAAATAAAATAAAAGACTAGCCTATTTAGAGGGCGGTAAATGCTTGATAAGTAGTTTCTTTTTATTATTTTATTTTAATAATTAACAATAGTTGTTCATGAAATTTAAAGTTAGGTTCTCTTTCAACAAAGTGAAGACTGAATGTCACTAAACCAAATAGTCATTATGCGTCTAATTAACCCTAAAATTGTCGGTTTTCGATATCTATATAAAGGGTGCGTACCAAATGATAGTTATGCCGTGCTTTTATTTTGAGTCAATTTCATTTAAACCCTCTCAAGTTTGATTCAATTACAACCAAACTCACATGTTTCAATAATGACTTGCTAAGCTCCAATTGGTAGATAATTATAGTTTTGTTTTTATTCAATTTTTTCATGTCTTTTTCATTGTTTTTATTAGAGCTAAGAGATGCGAATCAGTCTATTTCCACCATTGTTCACTGAGTTAGACACCGTCATCAATCAAATTGGCCCATTGGCTTACGCCAAGTAAGGTATCAAACTCTCTTCCATGCTATTTGAATCGGAATCTCTTTCAACAAAACAGACAAAAATGCTACTACTCCAATTGGGCACTGTAAATATTTACTTAAAAATGAAAGCTTGAGCTCCTTTTCCAATTCCCAGTTCAGAAAGAAAAATATATTTCTCAATCTCTCAAGTCTCAAATCTCAAGAAGCAAATCCAATGGCACACAATAACCACACCCATCTCCATGGCCAAGACCTCCCAAAAGTTCTGCAACTTCTCCCAAACCCCTGCTTCGCTCTCGTGGAGGCCAACAACTCCCACAAGTTCCACTTCCTCAAAGCCTGGGTCTCTCCTCTCCCTCAAGACCAGTTCTTGGAAACGCAAGCAGGCTCAGTGCAGGTCCTTCTGTCCTCCGCCATTGGACCGCCCATCACTGCCCAGATCCTCCATTTGCTGCCCTCCTTGAAGCTCCTCGTCACCATCAGCGCAGGCCTCGACCATGTCGACTTGGCCGAGTGTCGAGCGCGCGGCGTGGCCATTGCCAGCGCCTCTAAGATCTTCGCTGAGGACGTTGCTGACGTGGCCGCGGGGCTGCTTCTCGATGTCATGAGAAATATTTCGGCTTCCGATCGGTTTGTCCGAGATGGGTTTTGGGTTAGCAAGGGTGATTTTGCTCTGGGTTCTAAGGTGTCATCATCAACTCTAGTTATTTGAAGTTGAAATGATAAAGTCACATACTTTTGTTGGGTCTCTGTGAGATTTGATGTGAAAAGTGAAGCTTTGTTTATTTGTTTACTGTTGTTGCTTTTTTTTTTTTTTTTTTTAGATGAATAGATTGATCGACTGTGGAGTTTTGATTGTTTTTTTTTTTTTTTTTTTTTTTTTTTTTTTTTGAATTTGGGTTCGTTTGTTTGTTCAATCATTGGTTTCCAATCTAGTAGGGTATGTTAGAATTCCATGAAGTCACTATCTTGTTTAGAGTCTAAGAATAAAAAGTCAAAAATGTTAGACTCTTCTTGAGTTTCTTATAGACAACTTGGTTGAGATTAGAAGCTGAAAGTAGTGAAAAAGGAATGTCTTTTAACAGTTCTTCACATCTTTATAATTGAGCTATGAATCTTTCTTTTTTACTGTTGGTTATTTAAAATGGTTTTTGTGATGATTGGGAATTTCAGGTAGGAGGCAAACGAGTTGGGATTGTTGGATTGGGAAACATTGGCTTAGAAGTGGCTAAGAGACTTGAGGCCTTTGGTTGCAGTATCTTGTATAACTCAAGGAAGAAAAAACCATTTGTTTCGTACCCTTTCTTTCCTGATGTATGTGAACTTGCAGCCAATAGCGATGTGCTTGTCATTTGTTGTGGTTTGAATGCTCAAACCCACCACATGATTAACAAGAAAGTCTTGTTGGCATTGGGAAGAGAGGGGGTGATTGTGAATGTAGGACGTGGGGCTATAATTGATGAGAAGGAAATGGTGCAGTGTTTGGTGCGAGGAGAGATTGGAGGTGCTGGTTTGGATGTGTTTGAGAATGAGCCTCATGTTCCTAAAGAGCTATTTGCATTGGATAATGTCGTACTGTCACCACATCAAGCTGCCCTTACACCAGAATGTTTCACGGCGTTGAGCGAACTAGTAATAGGGAATTTGGAAGCATTCTTCTCAAACAAACCATTGCTTTCTCAAGTGGAGAATAATTGAAATATATTTATATTTTCAGGTTAGCATATCCATATCTTGCATGTCATAATCATGGTTTATTTCCCATGCATTCATACAGAAACCATTTGCATAATTGAGCTTTAGCAATATCTGTTTTAACTTTTCTTCTGCTAAGTTTCCTGCACTTCTGAATTAATGCAGGGTACAAAAAATTGATGAAATTAATGCGGGGATGAAAGAACACAAGGATGGAGAACTGATTGGTATCGGATACGGGCTTCCCCTGAATCCTGCGTATCAGCGCTACATAGATTATTATGATTCAATAATTGTTGAATTTTCAATCTGATTTTTGGCAGGGTTTCATGCCTTATTTAATCAGTATGCCTTAGTCTTATATGAAACTGCATGTAGCCTTGTAATTATTGATCAATAAATCAGCTTCAGTGTTCGTGACCTAGCGCTCAAAGGATGCTTGCTCTTATAAATTTGCTTTTATCTAGCCTCCTTCTATGTTTTGTTACTAATTGAAATGAGGAATGCAAACTAGAAGTATTTGGGATTCAGAGCATGCTATTGTCGGTCTTAACCCCATTGACCTGCCGGAATTGTGGAGCTGCTATAGCTAATGCAAGAAATGTGTTCTGTGAGGATGTGGCATATGTGCCAGTAGGGATTGCTTATTCACGTGCTAAGAAAGATTTCGGCTTCTTGGTGGATATGTGATACAGAGGATTTGATCTACTCTATTGTTCTGAGGCCACCATCTATTTGTTTTCTTTTGATTATGTGTTTGTGAGGGGAAATTGGTGTAATGAGTTAGCGTTTCTAGTATTATTGTAAATTTGAGAACTTTTTTTGTTGGTAAAGTAATTTCATCTCCTACTAAATTGCAGCTTAATAAAGCAACAAATTAGAAGCAGACCCTAGCGCATTCGAGTACGAATTGTCCCGCTTAGATTAGAGTAAAATATTAAACACGGACAATAGAGGCTCGGGTAAATTCCTAATAGTAATGAATAACGTTATAAACTACTCTTATCGATAAATGAAAATTGAGGAAAAAATTTAAAAGGAAGAAAGGATCCCAGTATACACATATATAGTATAGCCTTTATTAAAGGAAATTAAAACAAAAGAAAAAACCAGTAAAGTCGGGTGGTGAAAAATCGCGTATAGACCGGGCTGCTATACTCTTGAGTTAAACAAAGTAGAGCTGTCGTACAGCGCCCAGATGCCATGCCAAACTAAGCATAGCTGGGATTTTTAAAAAAAAATTAAACACGTTGCGTATAGCCGAACGGCTGTACTATTTTTAATATATAAAAAGAACCCTTAGCGATTAAGCGCCATGTGTCAAAAGTAGAAGAGCCGGGCGGTTATACCATTTTTAAAAGGAAAATCGCAGTGTAGCCGCCGGCCATACTATTTAAATGAACTATATTTAAAGTAGTACGTGTAAAAATAGTAAAATCGTTCGGCTATATTATATTTTTTTAAAAAAATTATCCCGTATAGCCGTGCGGCTGTACTATTTTTTATTAAAAAAAAGGAACCCTTCAGATTAAATAAATTATATTTAAATTAGTGATCAGGTGCCATGTGTAAAACGGCAACGCCGAACGGCTATACTATTTTTAAAAATTAGAAACATCGAGTATGGTCGTGCGGCTGTACTATTTTTTTTATATAAAAAAGGAACCCCTACAGATTAGTGGCCATGTGTCAAAAATACTATTTAAATACATTATTTAAAGTAGTTATTTGGTGCCACATGTAAAAATGGTAAAGCCGTACGGCTATACTATTTTTAAAAAAAAAATTAGAAACATCCAGCATAACTGTCCGACTCTACTATTTTAATAGAAAAAAGGAACCCCTATAGATTAGTTGCCACGTGTCAAAATACTATTTAAATACATTATATTTAAAGTAGTGATTTGGCACCACGTGTCAAGAATAGTAAAGCTGTGCGATACTATTTTTATAAAAAATAGTGGTACAGCCGTGCTGCTATACTATTTAATCAATAAAAAATTAAGCAAAAAGCACCCTTCTTGTTGCATTAGTTTATACTTTAGAGATATTAGTTTGCCAGTTTCAACATATCCAAAGTAAATATTGATCGTCCATTGTATAATATTTTAACATGTATTTTATTTTTATTCAATAATGTGTGAGAATTATTTGTATAATATGTGAATTTTGTATGTCGAATTGAATTTTTTATAAAAAATACGTGTATTAAACATGAGGAATATGTACATAGATATACAATACAAGTATCTTATGTTTGCTTTTTTTAAAAATACGTACGTGCATGTATCATACAATATTAAACGTGAAAGTGTCAAATTGTTTATATGGGTAATAACTAAGGAAAAGTAAAAAAATTAAACGTAAACACTAGAGACTTGAGTAATGACCTAATAGTAATGAATAATATTATAAACTACTCAATAAATGAAAATAGGGGAAAAAATTTAAAAGAAAGAAAGGATCCCAGTATACACATATATAGTCTAGCCGCACAACTAAATCGAGTATAGATTTATTTTTAAAAAAGCAGAGCTGCTGTACAGCGCCTTGGTGCCATGTGTCAAAATTGTATAGCCGAATTTTGTTAAAAAAATTACACACATCACGTATAGCCGTGCGGCTGTACTATTTTAATATATAAAAAGAACCGTTGCCTAATCACGTGTCAAAAATAGTATAGCCGCACGGCTGTACAATTTTTCTTATAAGGAAAATCATAGTATAGTAGTGTCAAAAATAGTAGGTGCACGTGTCAAAAATAGTATAGCCGCACGGCCGCACGGCTATTAGGTGCCACGTGTCAAAAATAGTAGTGTTAAGGTGCGACATGTGAAAATAGTAGGGCCGTGGGGCTATACGATTTTTAAAAAAATTTAAAAAAACATCGAGTATAGCTTTATTTTTAAAAAGCAGAGCTGGGCGCCATGTGTCAAAATAAGTATCGCCATGCGGCTATACTATTTTTGAAAAAATATTATACACATTGAGTAAAGCCACTGTCCTATTTTTTTATAAATAAATAAAAAACCCCTAGTGATTAGGTGTCACGTGTCTAAAATCGTATAGCCGAAAGGCCGTACTATTTTTCTTATAAGGAAAATCATAGTATAGCCGGTCGGCTATACTATTTAAATACATTATCTTTAAGAGATATTTAGTGATATACCCATTCTTAGCACTAATATTATAGATAAACCCTCCATCATTGAATTTCTATAAACAAACCCAAAAAAAACCCCAAAAATAATAGCTGGCCTTATTGAATTTAATATTGATTATTAAATTACTTTAATGTCCTATTGAGTGTTTTGTGTATTTTTATGAGATTTTGGGGTTGGACTTGTTTTAAGAAATTTATGGTAGTTTTGTAATTTATAAGAAGTTAAAGCCTCTTTGTTATGTTGTAAATGAGTTTTGGGTGTGTTTATAAAGTTCATTTCATATGGGGTATTTTTATAATTTGGGCTCCCATATTGGGTATATTAGTAAATCTCCCTATATTTAAAGTGGTGATTAGGTGTCACATGTCAAAAATAGTATAGCCGTTCGGCTATACGATTTAAATACATTATATTTAAAGTAGTGATCAGGTACCACGTGTAAACATAGTAGCTAGCTATACTATTTTTAAAAAAAAATTAAAAAAAATATCGATTATAGCCGCGCGGCTATACGATTTATTAAAGGAAATTAAAACAAAAGAAAAAACCTAAAATCTGTCAACTTTAAAAGAAGAAAATTTGATCGTTTTGTTAGTTAAGACATTTTTAAACCTTGTCTACTCGCTGCAGCCTGCAACTCAAATGAACGACACTAACCCTACAGAGTCACACGAACACACACCTCACAGTAAAACCCCTCCATGTTTCTCACCAAGCTCTCCCGCCTAAACCCAAACCCACTCCTACTCATTCTCACGCGCCACCTCTCCAACCCCTCGAAACTCCACGACCGCTACTCCTTCAAACCCCCACCCTCCCTTTCCCCAAACACCCAAGGCCAAAACCCGAACCATAATAACCCCAAGAAGAAGCAGAAACCCCAGTATCGCCCGCCATCGTCCCTCGACCGAACGGGTCAGAAGCCGATACATTCGGATTTGCCCTTCGATTTCAGGTACAGCTACACCGAGTGCAGCCCGACGGTGAGGCCCATTGGGCTGCGCGAGCCCAAGTACTCGCCTTTTGGGCCGGGGCGGATTGACCGGGAATGGATCGGGGTGTGTGCGCCGGCTGTGGACCCCAAGGTGAGGTCCGTGGAGGGAGCAGAGGAGGATCCGCAATTGGAAGAGAAGAGGAAGAGGAGGAGACAGAAGGTTCAGGGAGAGCCTCTAACTCCGGCCGAGAGGAAAATATTGGTGGACAAGTGCCAGAGGCCCAAAACCAAGAGGCAAATCAATTTGGGTATGGTTTTTTCTTTCTCCTTTCTGTTTCGTGTTTTATGAGCTTCTTAGAGTGTGGTCCGTAAATTGCCAACAAAAAAAGAAGTGTTTGATAATATGGGCACTCCCAATTTTGTATGATTGAGCAGATTTGAGCTTTTTTTTCTTGATATTGTTTTGTGCCTGCTGAATTGGGTTTTTGTGTTTTTGTTGTAATTGATATAGGTTCGAGTTTCTTGAGCTTTAGGGTATTCTGACTTTGTTTGATTGTTGGGGCGTGAGCTTTTTGTACTGTCTAATGTGATTGTTTTGGATTGTCTAATGTGATTGTTTTGGATTTTGGTTTTACTACTTTGGTGAGTAATAAGTGTATGGTCTTGTGCTCTTGGGTTCTATTTGGTTTGTTTGCTTTGTAGGCTTGTATTATTTCGTCTTTTTTTTATCAAACAAGTTGAGGCAATCAGGCAAATGTCCCACTTTTGCAACGTTTTAAAGTTTTCTATATGACAACCCAATTCCTAAACAAGAATAAGCAGTGTATTTTATGATAATCTTCACTCTTATTTATCTCTGCTATCGTCTTATTGTGTCCTATTGTTTGATTTCTTGTAGGCAGAGATGGTTTAACTCACAATATGCTGAATGATATTCAAAACCATTGGAAACATGATGAAGCGGTGAGGATAAAATGTCTAGGCGTTCCCACCGTTGACATGAAAAATGTTTGCACCCAACTTGAGGTATCTTATGTTCTAGTTACCGCTCTCTGCACTGCATCTTGCGTCTGATAGACTGTTGTTTCACTTTTCTCTTCTCCTTTAGTCTTTTGCGCTGTGGTATGCATGCTGTACCTCAGAGAGGTCCTTTTTGTGTTTACGACTTATGAACTTTATGCTACATATTCCAATCCCTGCTTCGCATATAGTATAGTTCCTTAAAGCATTAAATTCTTGCTACTTCCCATCATCAACCCCTTTTGCAAGGTTATATAGTTTTTATTATTAACCTTAACAGAAGCCATCCACCTTTGGTCCCAGCAACCCACCTTTTAACCATGCATGCCGTTGGCATTACATCATTATCTGGGTTGATGATACACAATGAAAACTAAAAATTCAAACTCTGTTGGAAGATAGGCTGTGGAATTTGCAAGGGGATCTCTGTAGAATCAACGATGGCACTGAGGGACAGCAAGGACAATGCGACACTTATGTTTCAGATTATGAAACATAAATTCTGATTGTAAAATCAATAATAAATTAAATGCAACATATGAATGTTTGCGTTGCATTATGAATTAGTTTACATATGAGAATGGTTTCAGGATTCACTATTATTTCTTGGAAGTTGGAAGAAATGCTAAATGCATGTTTCATGTGTATGTTGCAGGACAAAACCTTTGGAAAAATCATCCACAGACATGGTGGTGTACTTGTATTATACAGAGGCAGGAACTATAAACCCAAGAAAAGGCCCGTGATTCCATTAATGTTGTGGAGGCCACATGAGCCCATATATCCCAGGCTGATCAAAACTACAATTGATGGCCTAAGCATTGAAGAAACAAAGGAAATGAGGAAGAGAGGATTAGCTGTCCCTGCTTTAACAAAACTTGGTACATCCTTTTTCTGGCTGTGGTCTTTATGACTTGATACGTATTTCTATGATCATTTACAAGCTAGATGAAACTGCAGCCAAGAATGGTTATTATGGTAGTCTGGTATCCATGGTTAGAGATGCTTTTATCTGCTGTGAGCTGGTTCGGATAGACTGCCAGGGTCTTGAGAAGAGTGATTACAAGAAAATAGGCTGCAAACTCAGGGTAAATTTCCAAGCCATTGTATCTTTTTCTGCTGAAGCTTGCTTTATGTACAGTTCTAACTTTTATTGCTCCCATGTACAATGAGATGCTTGCACTGGCTAGTCATGGGCAATTCCTACTGCATTTTCCTTCTTTCTGTATATCTGGGAAAGACACAATGATATTCTTTCTTAATTTTCTTGGCCTTGTTGATGCAGACTACCTACATAACCTAGAATGTGTATCTGCATGTTCGATTGTTTCTGTTTATCTAAGTTTTTTCTTTTTTACTTATACTTTAGTATTTTTGTTGGTCAACCACTTATACTTCAGCATTGATACAGGATCTTGTGCCTTGTATCCTGGTGACATTTGAGAAGGAACAGATTGTGGTTTGGAGAGGAAAGGACTATAAGCCTCTAGAGGATGGATACTTCCTTCCAGATCGAGAACTGTTTGATAATCCAGAAGGTGATTTGGTTTCAGGAGAAGAGGGGTGTGGTAACTCAGATGGCAACAGTAGCGAAAAGGAATTCGACTCTGGTGAAGAGTAGTAGCCCCTTCTTGCCGCAAGTTACAGACACCACATGGGTGTTATCGGTTGGAGACTTGGATTTGATCAAGCTTTTCTTCTCCCAATTGCAATTTTGGAATTCATGGAGAGCCGAGTGGAGCCGGTCCACAATATCCTGGAAATGGTATTTGGGTGCATTTTTGGGTTGTGTTGTAGCGAGGAAACTGCCTATTGAAATTAGATAACAAGATCTAACAGGTCCCCCTCTGCAAGGCAAAAAATGGAAAAAAGAGAAATACTTATTCCGTATGAGCGTGGAGTGAAAAAAGGTAAAAGGAGCCAAAGCCTGAAGTGAGAAAACTGTACTGGAGTTGGGTGAAAAAACCAAGGGTAAGAATTGCATAAGATTCTTTGGATTTGATTCTCACCATTTGGATGCCAAATGAAATGTTTGCATTATTATTGTTCAAAGAGTATGAATATGGAGTGATTCTATGTATCAAATGAACTCTGACTCTCAGTTTGTGGAGATTTAATATGCAGAGACTGATACTAATCCTAATTGGGCTAGCCTTGGATCAACTTAACCCTAATTTTATTTCTGCCAATGGTTAACCGTGCCAACCCTGACCAAAAAAGAACAGAAATGATGTTGAATCTCAAAATGGTAACATTTTTTATATTTTGACATCACATGCAATGGAATATTTTTCTGACAAATCATTTTCATTACATAATAAGTAGACCCCAAGATCCCTCCCAATCCATGCATCCCAAATGCATCATGTCCGTTGTCTCCATGCTGCTGCTGCAGCATGTGCTTCACAAATTCATAATTTCCTCCATGGCAGTGGGAGTCGGCCCACTGAGACTGCTGGTGGGACCCCTCTGCTTCCTTAATCAAACCTTATCAATCACCTCCTCCACATCTGGGCCTTGTGATTGGGAAGCATCCACTCAATTCAATTCACATTGCAGCAACGTGTTTGTGTTTTGCTTTTTCTCTTCTTATATTATATTGTCCCCACCAAAAAGGCCAAAAGGCCAGGTAGATATTATATTATTTGAGTGTGGTAGTGAATTGGTTCAGATTACAGCTCAAAATGTTCCCGGCAATTCGTCCAAAAATATATATAATGTTCACTGCAATATCGTAAAGAATCTCTCAAGTTAAATAGGTCGCCAAAATAAGTACCAATAAAACTTTGGTATAGCAAATCACCCACTAGTGTAATAATTTGAAGTAATTGCTCTTTTAGACAAGGTCATGAATTTGAGTCATAACATTCGTATAGTGTGTGTGAGTTTAATATATTATCGCCCATTTCAATAAGAAAGATCCTTAAAAAAAAACTTTGATACGAAAACCAAACGAAAAAATATCAAGATTTTCATGTATACGATACATTTATTTTTCCTTACAATCTCTAATATATTTCAAGAAGTGAAGACTGATGTCACTAAATCAAATGATTATTAATCGGAATAAAACAAAAAGTGTAGTTATTAGAAGATGTGTGACTACTACTTGTGAGTTGTGGTGTGGCAGAGATGAATTAAGATGAGAATAAAATAATGCACCATAGAGGCATGCCGCACGCCTCTTTTGCATTATCCCATTCTTGAGTTGTAGAAAGTCATGAAAAAACAAATGAAAACCCCCTTTGACCCTAAAAATACAATGTCTATATGTAAGAGCACTTCCACCAGTTAGTCCCTTGCCATGGCAAGGGGAGCCCTAGGGCAGCTACTATTCACGTGAATAGTGGCTGCCCTAGCATCAAAAAAAAATTGTGTTTCCAGCAGTGCAAGGCTTGCCATGGCAAATACTATTCATTTTTTTGTTTTTTTCACAACTTTGTTTACTTAAACAATTAATTTGGATAATATTTTCAGATAAGATTTCTGGGTTCCTACGTGTCAATACTATTCATATCGGATCAGATTTTCGGTTTCAAATTTCAGATAAATTTCAAATTTAAGATACATTTCAAAATTCAAATTTCAGATAAATTCAAAATGTCAAATATCAGATACATTTCAAAATTCAAATTCCATATAAATTTCAATTTTCAAATTTCAGATAAGATTTTCACCTCTAAAATTGCGCCACGCGTCATCTCTATCTGCCTAAATTTTTCTATAAAAGCATAGGCTCAGCTCATACCTCCCACACCATATCTTCTCTACATCTTCATTTTCATATTTTAGATTTCATTTCTCAGATTTTAGATTTCATTCTCCATTCTCAATGTCAGACGACATGGAAGAGGTTTTGGAGAGGCAAGAGCGAGAAAGGCGAGCAAGAATGAGTAGAAGAACTGCAAGCAAAAAGGCGCAGAGAGATCTAGATGAGCAACTTGGTGTGGCCGTTGCTATGCTGGAGGAAGAAAACCAGAGCCACAGTGGTTCACGAGAAGGCCGGGCACCGAATGTGGACAGACATAGACATTCTCGCAGTGCTTGATCCGTACGGGTTGAACCAATTACTCTTTCACAAAATTCCTGATGAATTTTTTTCCACATATGACAGAATTTGATCTCATTGCCCGTTACGGGACAATGACTAACTTGGAGCCAAGCCTCACACAAGCTAATATCTTTCGTCATGCTCCATGCCCCTCCTCCGGTTTCACTAGAAGAACCCATAATATGATAGAGAAAAAAACAACTTGAAAGTAAAAAAAAAGAGTAAAAAGTGAAAAATAGTAGAAGGAGAAGAAAATGTATGAGGAGTTGGTGTTAAAAGTGAAGAGTATTGGTTGGTATTTATAGAAAAAAAAATTCAGTATTTTTTTGGTATTTTTTTAAATTTTTTCCAATTTTTTTTCATTTTTTTATTGGGCAAAAAATTGTCTGCTGTTGGATTGCTGGAAAAAAAGGATTGGAGAGCCCAAAAGCTTCCACGTGGCAGAGAGCCGTTAGGGGTTGCTTTTTCGATTTTTTTATTGGCGAAAAAATGGTTGCCGTTGGATATGTTTAAAAAGTTGATCGGATGGCCCAGAAGAAGACACGTGGAAGAAAGTTGTTGGGCGGACACTATAGCGACGCGTCAAATTTTTTTAAAAACGTTAAAAATATTTAAACTCCAGCGATGACGTCATCGTGACGTCAGCGCAATAACGTCAGCACAGCCTGCGGGCTGGCACTCGAGCCAGCCCAGGTGTGTGGGCCCCACTGCTTGCCCTGGCGGCTCCTTGTTGTTGGAAACCACATTTTGGATTCCCTCCCCCCCCCCCCCCCCCCCCCTCCCCTTGGGCCCCTTGCTGGCCAATGCTCTAAATGCACTTCCTCTCCCTTTTTCTTTTATCAATACATTTTTTTATATTTCAAGCATTCAAATCAACACAAAGTGGAGGGATTCTGCGTTCAAATTATGTGCATGATGATTTTGATATTTATGTAATAATTTTATGCTTACATAAAAATTATTATTTACCTAAAAAAGTTGACTGTTTTTTTTTTTTTTTTTTTTTTTTTTTTTTTTTTATTTATACTTAAAAAACTTGAAAGAGTATGCAGTATATTTGCTCGTCATTTGACGACATAACTACTACAATAAGACTCCATTTGAATGACATTATAAGGTTACATTGTTTGTTTAGACCATTACAATAAGATTTGTGTAATAAATAAATTATGAAAATAAATTAATTATAAATGATTCCTTCCATATAGCAATTTCATATTCATTCAATCTAGTGTATCCATTTCTTGTTTTTTAAGCAAATTTAGTATACTTATCAAATACAAATAATTTATTTCAAATTTCTCCATCCAAACAGAATGTAAAGTTTTTCTTAATTAGATTTCACAATTTATTTACAATAACACCCTGGAGGTTTCTTGTGTTTTCACAAAATCCCCTCAGGTCTCAAAAATTACACGAACACCTTCTGAGGCTTCAGTTTGTTTTCACAAAACTCATTTTCGTTGATTGTTTGTCCAAAAATTAATGATTTTATTAAACAAAACTTATGCAAATAACAAAATTAACCTCAAAGGTGTTCATGTAATTTCTAAAACCTGAAATTTTTTTTGTGAAAAAGTCAAAGACTTGATGGGTGTTAGTGTAAATAACTCTTTTGTATTAACCTATGTATTGTCGTCGACCCACTTCTCATTTCATGTTGTGCCAAACGCTTCGTTCTCAGATTGAAACTCAAGTGGAGTAGTATTAAAACTACGAAAAAAAATTTGGAGCCACCTTTTATTTATTTTTAACAGAAAAAAATATATAAAAGAAAAACGCGGCGAAATAATAAATCTTCCACCACCACACGTAGAGAGTCATCGACATTTTTTAGCCTTAAATACCGTTTTGTCCCTCTCCCTCTCTCTCAAGCTTGTAGCTTCATCTGCCATACCATTATACTCTGCTACATACAGCTACCGCCACCCCAAGAAAACACACACAGTGATGGCAGACAACGATCTCGCCTCGCCTCTCATCTCTTCTGCACCCTCCGATCACCCCCACTTGATCCTCACCGTCCAAGACGACACCGACACAGACCACAACAACCACAACGGCAATCACGGCAGCAACAGCACCCACCACCACTTTCGCAACCCATATGCGTTTCTCGGGTCGGATGGGTTCACCGTACCCGGTTCGACCACTGCGGACCCGTTTAGGAACCACACACTGGAGATTCGTGGGCTTTACGAGTGGTTAAAGATCGGAATTTGCTTGCCCATCGCGCTGGCTCGGCTTGTGCTCTTTGGGGCCTCTTTGCTGATTGGGTTTGTGGCTACAAAATTGGCTCTTCAGGGATGGAAGGACAAGAAGAACCCTATGCCTAAGTGGAGGTGCAGGATTATGTGGATCACTAGAGTCTGTACTCGTTGTATTCTGTTCTCTTTTGGGTAAGTTTGATCTGGATTTTTTTTTGGGGGTTTTTATGCTGTTCTGTTTTGGTTTTGGTTAAGATGTGTTTGGAGGAAAAGATTAGAAAGTGGGATTTGGAATATTGTTTTAATTGAAGTCAAGTAGGTAGTTTGAGTGGAAATGGTCAAGTGAAGACATGATTTTTGAAATGTTTATGGCGACCTGTTTGGATGCTGAAAATTTTGAGCAAGGATATGTGACTTTTAGTTTCGGGAGATTTAAGTGCTGTAATTAAGTGAACTGGATACTTTCATTAGATTCGAATGAAAGGAATTGTAGGAAGAATCTAATTCTCTTTGAAGCTGGTGTGTCTGTGTTTGTTTTTTGGGTCAGCTCACATAGGTTGGTAGAGAGAAAATATGAGGAAAAGAATTGAGTGAAATGATTTGGGCTGGTGGTGATAAGTAATCGGTTTGGCAGTGCATCTCTTTTCATATCAGAGTTTATTTTTCATTTTAATATTTATTTGCATTCTTGACAATGGTGGAATTGGTATGAGAGTATTTTTTTGTTTTTCTTTTCTAATAATTGATGTTCCCTCTTTCACCTCTTACTGCAGCTACCATTGGATAAGACGGAAAGGAAAACCTGCTCCTAGAGAAATTGCTCCAATAGTTGTATCTAACCATGTATCATTCATTGAACCTATCTTCTATTTCTATGAATTATTCCCTACAATTGTGGCATCTGAATCCCATGATTCCCTACCCATGGTTGGAACAATCATCAGAGCAATGCAGGTAATTTCGTGTCCCTTCACTCCATATGCAAAACAACTTGTTACAATCACTTTAGTTGCTGGTATTTATGTTCCGTTGTAACGGTCAGTCTCATTGCTATCTGTTCTCAGGTGATATATGTAAATAGGTTTTCTGCATCGTCAAGGAAGCACGCTGTTAGTGAAATAAAGGTAAAAAGTTTCTGTTAGTTCTTGGATATCCTTATTTGATTAGTAAGTCATGAACCAATTTAGATAAACAGGTTCTCAACTTTTGTCTCTGAACCTCTTTGGTATATATCCTCGTGCAATTAGTTGCATACTGGATGCAATTGCATGAATCTATATTTAGGATTTAATAAGTTAAGTGATTTTTATCAATTTTATAAGCTATTTGATACAGAAATGTGCTTTCAAGGATCTGAATACAGAGAAAAGCTTCTAGCGATAGATTTCCTCGAGTGCTTTTATTTCCTGAGGGAACCACAACCAACGGAAGATTTCTCATTTCATTTGAACTTGGTGCATTCATCCCTGGTTTCCCCATACAACCAGTAACTGTACGCTATCCCCATGTACACTTTGACCAATCCTGGTATGGCACTTTTCCAATCTCAAAATTTTGTTGGTGTTGTCTTGAGTGGTATCTTATAACGCTTCATGTGGTGTTCTGGTTAGGGGGCACATTTCTTTGGCAAAGCTCATGTTTAGAATGTTCACACAGTTTCACAATTTCATGGAGGTAATCTCTTTCTCCTATTATATTATGGTTGTTTCTTCACGTTTTATCATAAACTTTTGTATTGCATGGGCATTGATTTAGGTAATTTGATCTGAATTGAGCAGGTAGAGTATCTTCCTGTTGTCTCACCCCTTGATAACAAGAAAGAAAGTGCTGTTTGTTTTTCTGAGAGGGTGAGAATTTGCCAGAAATTGATAAAAATCCATTTTTCTTTTGCCATGATTTTGGTTTTACATCGCTTTTTTTCTTTTTTCTTTTTATGCCATTGTTTTATAGATTATTAATGGACGTTGACACATACAAATATATGCAGACTTGTCATGCTATGGCAACTTCACTCAATGTTGTACAGACATCTCATTCTTATGGGGACTTAATGCTACTTATGAAAGCAACTCAGTCGAAATCGAAACTGGTATACATCTTTGTTTATAGTGATGCCTTACCAATTTTTTGTAACAAGCTATGAACCTGAGACCCACCCTAACCCTATACCCCCTTCATTTACTACCCAAGCCAAAACCCATCAATTATAGCATTATATGAGCTTCTATGTATTAATTTAAATTTAGACTGTTATAAGAGCTACTCAATGACCTATTCATTCTGAAATAAACGTTTCTATCCTGACTTCCACAGGAGCGCCCCGCATCTTATATGGTTGAAATGGCGACTGTAAAATCAGTAAGTCCTTCCACATAACTCATAATTGTGCATCCTTGTGTTTCTAACATATATAATGTTAGAAACTGGAACTAGAACTGAACAATTTTGTAAAATAACTTTATCTCTCTTCATGATAAAAAAAATAATAATAATTAAGTTAGGAGGAGATTCGTGTATTATTTATCTTATGTCTCATTTATTTCCTCTTAATACAATCTTTTTTGAACTATGGATGATTGCAGAAGTAGCAACTAGTACTTGTAGATCTTATCAAAGTTTTATAGAAGCATTCAGTAAATAAGGGCGAGTCCTTTGAAATGGTACCCTTAATGGATAAAAGGGAAGATGACTATTTAATTCTTTTGCCATGACTGATGCTTCTGTGGTTGAATTCTCAAGGCCCAAGTCACTTTAGATTACTTCATGTATAGGATCCTACATAATGATGTGATGCTTGAAAGCAGAATAGTAATTTATATTACTTCATATATGGGCTTCTACAAACTGACATGATGCTTGAAAGCAGAATAGTTTCACAAGTATACAAGAGTAGACAGGGATGAAGGTTTCCCATAGGATCCTACTTAGTTCATTGATTCAACAGATTGACATGTTATTGTTCTAACTTCTTCTAGAGTGGCTTTAGCTTCTTCAATACAGTCTGATGCATCTACTTTTCTGCATGGTATCTGCTATTTCTAGAAGCTGCAATACAAAAGTGTCTAAGCTTATATGGTTCCTATCATTAATTTATAAGTTAATGCGCCCCTTGTTTATTTTAACGATGTATGTGAGACCTGATAGAGAAATTAAGTAATTTATATCTTGTTTTGCAGCTACTCCATATAAGCAGCATGGAAGCTGTGGACTTTCTGGATAAGTTTCTTTCTATGAATCCAGACCCTAGGTACTGTTGAAACTATTATTAAAGTGAAAGTTGTTGCTGAGTCATCTTTTGAGTGAAAGTTGTTGTCTCTACCTTTTTCCTTGTGGATATCTTCCCTCCCTCTGTATGCTCTTAACGACATTTATGGCAATCCCTTCTCCTAAAAAAATTCGATTAGTTATGTTAAAATTGCATGCTCAAGATAGTATTTTAAAATGCTATTGGAATTCCGTGTTTATTTGCAAAATATTAGTCCTTTTGCCAACCAATACAAGGAAAAAGGTGTATGTTTTCTCTCGTTTTTCTTTATCAGTCTTACTAACATTTACTATGATGTGGGTATTATATGTGTTCCTCCTGCTTTATATTGCATGCATTGCAATTTTTTTTTACCCTTTCATGTCCGTAAAGTGTTGGTCCTGAATATTGTTTCAGTTGCAACTTCTAAAGTTCACTGAGCAAAGCTTGGATAACGAATCTGACATAAATGAGTGATTAGATGCTAACTAATGAATTTATTTAAATGACATGACATCTGAAATACTATACTTACAAATGGTGTAAGTATGTTCAAACTTATTGAAAACGCAAGACTTGTAAGATTCTTATTGTTGTATCCTGCTTGCAGAGGTCATGTTAACTACAGTGGTTTCCTGAGGGTTCTAAGACTCAAGGCCTGTACCTTTTCTGAAGAGGTCAGTTACCATTGATCTTTTGCTAAATAATTTCCCTTTGTCTCGTAGTTTTGCAAAGAGTTTGATAGGCTATATGATATATTCTGGGTTTTTTTGACTTTGCATAGAAGAGATCATCACATCAGAGTTGTATGTGTGTTTGGCTTCCAAGTACCCCAACAAATTCTTTCCTCTCCTTTAGAATAGAAATATGATTGCATGGCCTTTGATACCCTTCTGTTGGTCACCAGGTGGACTTACTTTTTGCTTTATCCCTGACAATATTTGCTCTACGTGTTTGTCCTTCTCCCCGTAGACTTACTTCAGTAGCTTATATTAGCACTTTGTGGTTAGTATGTTAGCATTGTCTCTACCTGATTAAGGACATGGGGGACAGGTGACTGTTTTTGGCAGGGTACAAGATGTTCATTCTGGGGAAATGCGTGATAGTTTTTCTTGTCTTTTTCATATTTTCTTTCTGTTGTCTTTTCCTTATTTAAACTATCATGATTGATTTCTTTCTATTATCATGCTGCTGACCTTATAAAGTATACTATACACAATTGAACATTAGTGCATGTTAAATGCTTTTTCAATGTGTATATAACTTTTACTTTTCCCTGTCATTCCCATAACATGGAAATCTTTTGGATAACAGATATTTGCTTTCATTGATGTTGAAAAAAGTGGATCAATCACGTTTAAGCAGGTACTCCAACACCCCCAGGCTGTCTCTGTTTCTGTCTTCTTCTCTGTGTGTGTGTGTGTGTGTGTGTGAATACGCGTGTGTGCATTTTTTAGCATGCGCTAATGCTTGAGTGTATTAATAATGATTACGTCATTATAGAATATTTTCTACAGCGTATTTGAGGTGAGTGATGGTGTGAGCTGCAGAGATGAAATTTTACACTAACAGCACAGGATTTGTATATATTATACACATCATCTGGAATCAAAAGTAAAGCATGTTGGGTTGGGGAGGTTTTTGTTGCTCCTGAATGAAAAGTGATAGTTTATATTAGAATAGAAATCCACAGAGAAACCTTAGAGAGTATAATGCATGTATATTTCATATATTTTTAGATACCAAATAATTTAGATTCATTGCATGATTAACTTGTTACTCAGGCATATATGGTACTTGGTTGTTTATGCAACTGTTTGTGCATTTGATTTTGTTTTTGGCTTTGGTTTTATATGTCATGATACCAAGTTGTACATAATAGTATCATTTTGTTGCCTTCAGTTCTTGTTTGGGTCAGTGCATGTCCTCAAGCGGCCCTTGTTCCGGCAAGCCTGTGAATTAGTTTTTTCTGAATATGTTTCTGGGGAGAATGACTACATTTCAGAACAAAAAGTATGACGCTTGCATTGATTTTTCCTTCTTGTTTTTCTTTTCAAGTCCACACATCTTTGTTATGATGAATTGACTTGCAATTTGTGGTTTTTAATTGCTTCGGAATCAGTTTGGAGAGTCCGTCAGGCCTGCAATCCCGGATTTGAATGAGGATGAGGTGATGGGCATACCCTTCTGGGCTTCCATCCAATTTCTTAGGATTTTTAAGCATTGCCTGCACATAATGGAGCATCAAAGCATCTTCCACTTGTGTCTTTGGTAAGATGACTAATGTTAATTGATTGCTTGCAGGTCCATGAACTGTTTAATCTATTTGATGCTGATGGTGATGGAAGGATCAGCAAGGATGAATTTTGGACCTGTCTAAAAAAAAACCCACTACTGATTGCGCTTTTCTCACCTTGTTTGCTTAACAAGGACATTCACAAGATGGTAATAGGTTGGTGGAGGAGATTGTGTAGTGGATGCAGAGAGAGATTTTCTCTTTATGGTTTGTGGAGATTTTGTGCACCATTTGTAACCTCCATTAGTCTGGTTTTATTTGGGTGGAGAGAGAGAGAGAGAGAGAGAGTGGCGGAGCTTCGAGTTGTGTGAAGTAATAGGGAGGGAGGGGGCATAATATTTTTACCTTGCTCCCTTAAGTTGCGCATACTAGAGTTCCGATTTAATTGTTTTTTTGATCTGTAACTTTTTATGTCATTGTTTAGAAAGTGATCTTACATAATTATAGTTTGTGCATTAATCCAGATAGATTTTTGTGTAGCAGATTATGTAGTGCTAAACCAAACTGAATGGAGATTGCAAAAGTGTGATATCAAATTTGATTGTAAAATTTTGCAATTTTTCTCTTAACTTTTTAGAGCGTGTCCTGGCCTAGCATCCAATGTCAGGTATGGACTGAGCTAGTCAAGGAAATTGAAAACAGACTTTTCACAGGCCAAAACTGGAAGAAGACAAAGTGACAATGACATCAGTTGGTAACCAGAACTTTCCTATGGAAAAAAGGTTCCAATTTTGAATTCCTCACCTTCAATTATCAAAAGAGGAAAGACTAATTTACTTTAACTAGAATTAGAATGGTAAGGCAGTGGTGATCCACCACGGGGCAAATTCCACATCAGAATTTTTTTATTTTGGGCAAGGAATGGTCAACGTTAGGCCTCAGTTGCATTGTATTTGCCTTAATTCAGCAGCTGAAGCCAAAGGAATGCCCCAGTCCCCACCATTGAGGCTAGAAAGTGGAGGGCTTTCATTGTCTGGGTGGGACAGTGAGATGATAAATATCACCTTCTTCCAACAAGAATCTTGGCATATATTCTTTAGCAAACAACCAAAATGGTAGAAACTGGGCTATATTATATATAATGGCCAAGACAGTGTGCTCTCTTCTTTGCACTCGAATTCGACCCCTCCCCATACCTTAGAATAGTTAAAATATCTTGTCAAAAAAAACTGCCTAAACATTGCAATAACTTGTATGTCTTAGTGCTTCCTTTCCTTGATTGTCCTGCCTTATAAACTCAAAGGCGGAACATAGTTGATATTTTCAATTGGAATTCTCAAAGCGACACTCAAGGTGTTGTGTTCGAATCTCTCATATTAAATAAAAATTATTTCTCAAAAAAAAATTAATAATAAAACTTATGATTTAATTATACTCTCTCTTAGCTAGGTTATAGGTGAAATTAGATATTAATGGATGCCCATGATATTATAACCAAGTTTTTTGAATTTTAATTTTCTTTTATGATTTCATGTATTGATGCTTAACTTTATCCCTCTATTAATCAGTTCGGCTGGTGAGATTGACAGTAGCAAGATCTATGCAGTGAAGGCCAGGCAGAGCTATTATCATTTGGTCACACACACGACAAATAAATTCGCAAAGTAAATTTCGTATCCTCAATACCAACCTTCACCTAGAATCGGGTCCACTTCTTAGTCCCCAACCTCCCAATCTACCCCGATCATAATTTATTATCAACGCATACTATTTTATTTTTATTTTACATAAGCGATATTGAAAAAGGGATATTCGAATACATGACTTTCAGTGTAGGGGTAACCGCTTGTAACCTACACACCCCTTGCATCTGTAACATGTATACAAAATTGACTTCGTTATATATAAAAAAGAAAAATTCATGTACACATGTTAAATTGTGATTTATCTATAAAGATGCATAAGTTGAGTTCTTACCTATAAAGAATCAAATATTAACACAACCAGGATCTCATAGTTCAAAAGATAATTATAGTTAGTCATATTAACCGACTAATCTTTGATATAATGGTAATTGTCTCCACTTCATTTGAGGAGAGCTGAATAAATAAAAATCAATTATAATATATTATTAAAGAGGAAAGAAAATTAAATATTTTTTATGTAATATAAATTAGGTTATATTGGCAAAGATATTGTGCTTACTCCATTACATTCAATTTCAAATCTCCATTTTCGTAAATTAGGTCATATTGGTGAAGATACTGTGCTTGCTCCTACAGCAATTCGTAAGCATTTATTGATGTTTCAACTTCAAATAATTTAAAATAAGATGAGAAGAATGAACATGTGGAGAGGGAGAGAAGAAAAGTTGGGTTTTTTTTCATGAAAGATGCGGCTAGTTAGGAGAGAAGAAAAGTCCACTTTTTAAAACTATTTCAAATATGCCCACAACTGTTTCAATAATTATGTTGTGACCCCAGTTTTTATTTTAAATCCAAAATGGTCCCTGCCGTATCTTGACTTCAGTTGATCATGTCCAAAAGTGTCTTAACCGTTGATTCGTGTCCAAGCCATGTCCGAGGCGTGTCCACGTGTTTACATGTCAGACACTCCGACACTTCAGTATGATGGAGTGTCTATGCTACATAACACTCAAATTCAAATCTCCACTTTCGTAAATTAGAGTAGTTCAAGATATCGGTTCGTCAAAAATACAAAGTAAAGAATTATATATATATATATCTTCTGCTTACAAATACATATGTCTTTTTCATGACAGAGATTAATTGGTTAAAGACATTTATGACCACGACATTTTAAGAAAAAACACGTTACATTTATTACAGGCAAAAAGAAAAAACACGTGACATGTACATTTTCGGTAGACAATTAGTATTGAGTAGCATGCGTGCAGAGAAATCAGGAAAACTGGGTGTGACAGGTGTAGAGTGGTAGTTGATGATGGTTTGGCTCCAGGCTCCTCCACTGTTTTTCCTTCTTTTCTTTTTCTTTTTCTGGGTGGGATTTGCTTGCATCCCCTTTATATGGTCGGGATGTGGATAGCTCCTCCCCAACCACTCATCATTCCACATGAAAAATTGAGCAGTTTTTTCTTTAGATTTTTTATTGATCACAATGTGCATGGTGGATGTGGGGTATTCATTATCATATCAATGCATGAAGCATGTTGTTGTGAGAAGAAACGCATTATGGATTTTTCAGAAAACGTGATCTACAATTAATAAGATATAATCTTTTGCTAAAATTCAAAAACTTGTAATTCAATACATGATGTAATATAATCTTGAACTGAACAATTAACTTTATCAAGTCTCAAATTGGGGCCTAATTTTTCTTAAAAGCCAATTTGGGTTACGAACTTCTTAAAATGGCCAATGTGAGGCCTTAATGCGATAGATTTTCTAAGTTCCATCCAATTTCCCCAAACTTAAT